TCACACCAGGTGTAGACAACACATCAGTACTTGAGACAATCTCGAATTAACCTAATTATTAAACCTAATTATTACCTTAAACTTAATAATCATACCACCCCACAAAACATCGAAACAGAATAAATCTATTAGAAATAAACGTATTATATTAAAATTTAGTTTTAAAAAAACAGGCTTAAATGTATTTAAATAGCTATCCGAACACAAAAGAAAAACTTTAAAATAAAGTCTATGCAGTAAGATAAACACAATTTATTTCACATGCATAACACGGCAATCAAATCCAAAAATTAGAAAACACGATTGTGTAATAGCTACTGTAATTCATTCATCTACACACACAAAAAATACACATGTGTTTACTAAAACGTCGTAAGTCAAAAAACCCCTGCACATCTACACGCTTCTCTTTGAATCATCCATCCGTGCTACACAATACGTTGTTTTTATTAGGATAGCTACGGTTCAGCAAATCTTTTTAGCGCAGGATAAAAATGACGATTGATGTCAAAAGAGAACGAGTTAAAAATAGATAAAACCCGGTGGCGTATCAAGGGTTTTGATGTCTCGCTACAATGGACACGACATTATGTCTCTAGCTTAAACGATTTCTCATTGAACATAAATTGTGTTTACAAATCACTTGTGTAGTTTTCTACCATTTGTTTTAATAAAAGTACGGAACACCATTTGTGTTGTATTTGATGTAAATAAAGAAAAGGAGACTGCAATCGGTGTCAATGGGACATATGGAATATAATAGGCTGGCATGCAGTGTTTCTTCCAGGCTCAGACCCCCACCCCCCACCCCGAAGAACGTCTACCTCCCCCCCCCCCGAACGAAATGTAAATGTGTATAGACAATATAGTCCGCCCCCCTCCCCCCAGAAAATATCAAGTCCCCCCCCCCCCCGGAGAAAAAGTTTGGAAGAAACACTGTTGACATGCTATACTTTATTGTGTAAAAGGAAATCCCCTTAATTGTGGAGTTGAATGGGATTTTCTCAAACACAATTAAGTATTACGTCTCAACATCTTATGCGCTATAATATAGGCATTCCAGTCCGATTTCAGCCTGCTTTTCTTTCTGGTTTTGCTTCCAAAGCTTTTGCCAATCCAAGAACAAACTACAAGGCATCAGTTGTTTGATTTTGTAAGTTGTCTCTCCTAGATGGGTTGCTGTCCCCCTATTGAGCCTTATCTTCCCGGAACACCAGAGAACGAATAAGAAGACGCAAGTATGACTAGCCGAAATTGTAATAATTTCGACATAGGTAAAACTTATAATTTATACATTTTAATTCAGTACGGAAGAACTTTTGTGTTGAGCTTATTGTAAATACTACAATCGGTGTACGGCATTTCAAGTGTGTACATGCTAATGTAAGTATAACAGACAGTCTGAATACTGTCTATAGCAGATCATGTATACGGAGTTGGTGCTATGTATGACAATAGGCTTGGAACCATTTGGAATCAGCTTTCCATGCCTAACGATGAAAATTTTGATGTAATTATAACAGTGTTTGGTGTAGGCAATAATGAAAGCCTTACTACATTTGGCCAGAAGACCTATACGTCTTAACCACATCATCGCGTGTTTTATACTGCTAAAACTAAGATATCCTAAACTTTTTTTAAACTGCTACAAACTGAGTTAAACTAAAATGGTTTTAGACTGCTACGAACGTGATCTCCAAGAATATTTACCGAAATTAAATGAATGTTCACACAAGTGAATATTTACACAAGTAATGCACACGAAAATATCTAAACATTGTAACAAGGCAAAGTGATCTGTTTGTAACGGTAAAGGCAATCCGCATAGATCACATGCTGTGCAGAAATAGTTTCTGATTTCCAGATTTCGTCATTTTGATCAAGGGGCGTAGCTCGGGTATGACTTGCGACACTAAGTCTAGTTACTAGTCTCCCTTCTATTCATAGCACTTTACTACGGATAAAATACACAAATAATGGTTGTTGTTTTTTTTTAAATTACCAAGTCTGCAATATAATTTGTATTATTAAAATATGTTCTATATTTAACACCGTGTAAGTCGTGTTATTATTAATGTTATATTTTTGCCCAACCTTTAGAATACATCAAAAACATGCTTCTATTGAACATTTCAGTCATAATTATACAGCTCAATGATTAAAGCCATTAAAACGATAGTTCTTTCTCTCTTTTTACCCTCCCCCCCCCCCCTCAGCCTCGTCTGTTTGTATCTAGAATTTAACATAAACATAGGCGTAGCTAGCGTTTGGCAGTTGTTTTTTTTAGTAGAAGGACGAGACTAGACTTCCCCCCCCCCCACACACACACACACTCACAAGATCCGCTATAACTATACAAATACAATAAAAAAATATTTAAAACACACTAGTTTTTATAAATATATTAAAGAGCACACACAAAAGATTTGTAAATATTTTTACAGGCATACATTTTTACAAATGTTTTTATTACCTAACACCCCCCCCCCCCAAGACACCCTCCCTAGATCCGCCTTTGAGCATAGCGGGTACGTGCTGGCGAATCAAAACCGACCAATGAAAAATGTTGGACTAATGATGGTAACACCTTTAGTGTGTACCGCTCGCGCCTTTTTAAATGATTTTTTTCCCGTTCAGTAATTAACCAACAAGGTAATTCAGGTATCATTTATTGGTCTGACTTTATGACATCCCAGAAAAATGCGCAATCGGAAAAATGCGCAACGGAAAAATGCGCTTACAGAAAAAATGCGCAAACACAAAATAATTATACTAATACATTTTAAATTTGTGATATTTCATGAAAATATGCTTGTTTATGCTACAATATACGTGTAGTCATCTTTATGTCTATAAATGTCCGATTTAAGAAAACTCAAATGCCATTGTGTACTTTTTTTGTGCGCAGTTTTCCGTTGCGCATCTTTCCGGTCACCCCAATAACTGCACGCAAATTTGGGCGTCTGCGCCCTTCATCTATTGGGAGAGGTAGGGGTTGTAGTGAATCCATACTTGATATCTATTGTGTTGCTCTACCCAATATTAGAGTCATACCGTTTAAAAAAAAAGTATGTCGGCTGGCGAATATTGATAATTAATTTTGTTTTTGTATAAGCAGACACGAGGTCGAGGTACGGTGTGGTCGTTTGGTAGAGCATACAATTTATAACCCAAATTCTCGAGCTCGATGTCACTGAGTCCACCCAGCTCTATTTGGTACCGGGCTCCAGTCTGGGAAACTAAAACCGGCTTGCGTGTATTGTTAGCCATTAATGGCCACATTGTCCCTTCTAGAGCCGAGATGAAATCTTTATAGACCATAGTGACTGTAAGGCTAAGCCAACTTTCTTGCTATTTTTAAACACGGCTTTAGGTGCGGTTTTTCGATTATATTTACCCAGCCTTGTTCAACCCTTTCAAATGTGGAGAATATTTTAACAAGTGCCAACACTAACTCTTTAAAATAAAAGATGGTAAAAATATATGGGACTTAGGACAAATCTGTATGGCTAAATTTAACTTTCAAACCGTAACTGTTATTTTGATTATTACACGGTGTTTACAATAATCGATGCAATATGTCAGCAATTGATTTTAAGTTTTAATTAATTGTGATTAGGACTCTAAAACTTTAAATGATTAAATATCGGACTAATTGTTTTTGCAGTGAGTTTTTGTTTGGATTGTTCAAACATTGAACTGAGTCGTGTCGTTAACCTGTACTTAGTCATGTGACTCAAGATGGCGCCTTCTTCTTCTTCTTCGTTTTTAATTCTAGTGTTGGGAGGATTCTCTCCAAAACGAGTATTACGTGTCAGCTTGTTATGCGCCATTTTTTTTTTTTGGATTTGCTTCCATAGTCTTAGTCCGATCAAAAACAAATAACAAGACAGCAATTTTTCTCTCCTAGATGGGTTGTTGTCCTCAGCTAACGAGCCTCATCTGCCCGGGGGGGGGGGGTCGAACTCGGTTTAGCAACCATGAGCTTTACAGACACCCAAAATGGCGCATGATTAAAGATGTTTGCGCACAGTAAGAATGTATTCCATAATCCTGTGTGAGACAGTAATGTAAGATAAAGCTGATTGATGGTTTTCACTTGCGACTAAACACAGCAGTATTGGGTTACAAAACTAAAAGAAAAACGAATTAACACGGTCTTATTTTATCTTCGTGTACTGTGTAGTTAGGTGACCCATACATTTGGCTCTTCTAGAACGATCATAGCCGGCCCAATATAGTGAGCAATAACCAGACATAGCCGGCTCAAGCTATTGAGCAGTAGCCAGGCATAATGGGACATGGTTGAAAATCCAGGCTTTTGAATCGCAGCATCTAGTTTGGGCATTAGGGGGCTCTTCGGTCAGGATCCGAACTTGTAACTTTCGAGGTAGCAGTCGCGCGGTCTACCGTTAGACCACGCATCCCACTACAACAACGTCCCACTCCCACGCCGTCCCACTACAACAACGTCCCACTACAACAACGTCCCACTACAACAACGTCCCACTCCCACGCCGTCCCACTACAACAACGTCCCACTACAACAACGTCCCACTACAACAACGTCCCACTACAACAACGTCCCACTACAACAACTTCCCACTACAACGTCCCACTACAACAACGTCCCACTACAACAACGTCCCACTACAACAACGTCCCACTACAACAACGTCCCACTACAACAACGTCCCACTACAACAACGTCCCACTCCCACGCATCCCACTACAACAACGTCCCACTCCCACGCATCCCACTACAACAACGTCCCACTACAACAACGTCCCACTACAACAACGTCCCACTACAACAACGTCCCACTACAACAACGTCCCACTCCCACGCATCCCACTACAACAACGTCCCACTACAACAACGTCCCACTACAACAACGTCCCACTACAACAACGTCCCACTACAACAACGTCCCCACTCCCACGCATCCCACTACAACAACGTCCCACTACAACAACGTCCCACTACAACAACGTCCCACTACAACAACGTCCCACTACAACAACGTCCCACTCCCAAGCCGTCCCACTACAACCTCACCCCACCACAAAGCCGTCCCGCTACCACGCCAACACATGCACTATTCAGCTTGTTGCAGGTAGAAACCACTCCTTTGAATAAAAATCTTTTTTTTATTTTATTATTTAATTTGTTTTTACTTTTTTTTTAAATTTTAACTATCGTGTTTGTTGTTTTGTCTATGATGTGGCTAGTAAAACCGGTCTGTTGCCTTAAAACCCACTGTCACAACTGCTCTCGACTTAAAACAGGTTTGTATCCGTTTGTTGATGTTATTTTGGTACAAACATGACATTCTCTAGGATGAACATGCCACCCCATTCATCCGGAAAGTTTTTTTATAAGAGAAAATGAAAAATATTTTATAACAAGCTCTGTCTATACATATATATATATATATATATATATATATATATATATATATATATATATATATATATATATATCCATACACACACACACACACACACACATATATATATATATATATATATATATATATATATATATATATATATATATATATATATATATATATATATATATTTGTATCATATTGGCCTATAAAATGGACCGTATGTGTATAGATCCTTTATGAACAGATCTTAAATGTATAGACCCTCTAAATAGACTATGTGTATATACATATATTTATATCGTAAGATAACATAAGATTTAAGACGAGTGCTCTATTTCTAAAAGAAAGACCAAAGTCACGTGATATTTGTTAGTATTGTATAACTCAATGTAAACTTAAACTCAATGTAAACGCAATGTAAACTCAATGTAAACTTAATGTAAACTTAATGTAAACTCAAAGTAAACTCAATGTAAACTCAATGTAAACTCAATGTAAAATCAATGTAAAATCAATGTAAACTCAAAGTAAACTCAATGTAATCTTAATGTAAACTCAATGTAAAATCAATGTAAACTCAATATAAACTCAATGTAAACTCAAACTCAATATAAACTCAACGTAAAATCAACGTACTCAATGTAAACGCAATGTACTCACCAACCAGTAGATTAGGGCGCCGATACTGACGACACCGCCAACGGCCACCAAAGATGGCGCCATTGTGTAACTGTTCAATAATCCCTGAGTCAAGTGACGAGTGTGTTAATCCAATACACGTTTAGATTTCAGGTCTGTTTTCTAGGGTTTTTTTGTTATATACTTTCATCAACAACTTGTGTGATTTTCTGGTTTCTATCTTTGTAAATTGTGTAAGAATCGTTGCATTGTTCTGCTGTCGTTATTACTGCAAAGCGAATGATAAAACGTTAAAGAAGAAATCGTTTATATTGTATACATCGTTTAAATGTTTAAATATAGGTTTATTTTGTCCTTCACAAATATATAATAAACATTTTAGTTTAATTAAACTGTAATATTAAAAAATTTAAAGTAAACTATACTCTTAGAGTAACTATACGATGTAGGCTACCAAGAAATAGTGACTGGTCGCCTATGCTTTCGCGTGGAATAGTATTTTTAGCAGTTATGTAATTAATAATTACGTCTTACCCTAACCTTAGCCAGTATTTGACACCTAACGATAACTACCTGGTACGTCATAACGGAAAACAACCGAGTATTTTGGCATTACTGTGGTTTTACTGTGGCATTACTGTGGTTTTACTGTGGCATTATTTTGGTTTTACTGTGGCATTACTGTGGTTTTACTGTGGCATTACTGTGGTTTTATTGTGGCATTACTGTGGTTTTACTGTGGCATTACTGTGGTTTTACTGTGGCATTACTGTGGCATTACTGTGGTTTTACTGTGGCATTACTGTGGCATTACTGTGGTTTTACTGTGGTTTTACTGTGGCATTACTGTGGTTTTACTGTGGCATTATTTTGGTTTTACTGTGGCATTATTGTGGTTTTACTGTGGCATTACTGTGGTTTTATTGTGGCATTACTGTGGTTTTACTGTGGCATTACTGTGGTTTTACTGTGGCATTACTGTGGCATTACTGTGGTTTTACTGTGGCATTACTGTGGCATTACTGTGGTTTTACTGTGGTTTTACTGTGGCATTACTGTGGTTTTACTGTGGCATTATTTTGGTTTTACTGTGGCATTACTGTGGTTTTATTGTGGCATTACTGTGGCATTACTGTGGCATTACTGTGGTTTTACTGTGGCATTACTGTGGCATTACTGTGGTTTTACTGTGGCATTACTGTGGCATTACTGTGGTTTTACTGTGGCATTACTGTGGCATTACTGTGGTTTTACTGTGGTTTTACTGTGGCATTACTGTGGTTTTACTGTGGCATTATTTTGGTTTTACTGTGGCATTACTGTGGTTTTACTGTGGCTTTACTGTGGTTTTACTGTGGTTTTACTTTGGTTTTGCTCTATAGTACTTACACCAATAGGACAGTACCTAACGAGGTATAATGCAGCTGTCGCTGTTAGAGTCAGAGCTAGTTTCCGGTACATGGATAGTGATAGGGCATGTTCACGATAAAGAATAGACTCTGGGGTGGGTTAGTAATCGTGCAATCGTTAGGGACAAGATTAAGGTTGCTAAGCGAAATGAGCAAATTCTTAGCCTCGAATACGACCTGCAAAACTATTAAATAGTTTTATAAAAAAAATTTTAAAAATATTAAATTTTGGGTTATGCCTAAAGTATTCAAATTTTTTTCTGCTTTTCGTTTATACCAGCGGTGTAGGTTGTGTTCCTTCACTAATTCACTCAAATTTCACATTATTGTTGTAAATGAGAATCTATGTGTATCTCTGTTATGATTGTCATAGACAAAACGTCCTTCATTAACTCTATGTATAGATAATGACGTCATGCAATTGTACCGACTGACCCCGTGTTCTGATTGTTTTATTATTAAATATCAAATTATAATCCGTGGGCAAATATTAATCAATGTATACATTTTTAAACAGTGATTTCCGCCCGAGTAATGAAGTTTTCTTTCTCAATCTGACATGGATGTCAATCTCTCAAGAAAAATCATGTAGTGAATAATGAAACGAAAAAATTCTTGTTCAAAATATTGGAACACGGCGTAACGAAACTAATTTATTTTTTCTAGTATCACTACATTAAATTTGAACATAACACCAGAGGCGTGGCGAGGGCGGGGCGGGAAGGGGGGGGGGGGTTGACCGCACCGGGTGACACCATTTAGGAGGGAAACACCAGGGCAAATAATTGCAAAATGTGCGGAAGAAAATGCTTTTTGCCAGTTCCATTAATGATTAATTAAAGTTAAATAGTCTTTTAAGTACAAATCGACAATTATTATCCTGGTTCGGGGCCCCCTTTTAAAATTTCCATGGGCCTCTCGGACACAGCCCCTAGTGCTTCATATCACGGTCCCGTCATTCATAAATTCATATAAAATAAATTAAGGTCCTACTAATAGGAACTGTTTTACCCGAGGAACTAAAAAGAAACACATCACTGGTCGGCATTCGTCACGTGGTTGAAGAACATAAATTTAAACGGGCAAACACTTCACTGTCCAAGTGTGGTGAGGTATGCAGTAAGCAGCCTAGTAGTTATCTCCTCTGTCGTCCTTTTCTACGCGTTTATTTCCCTTTGTGGGTGTTTACTCAACGCCCTCGATCCGTTCGTATGTTAAAGTTAATCAAACTTGAGCTAAGAATCCGGGGTTGCCCCCCCCCCCCCTTTTGCACATCCCCTAGTTACGCCACTGAATAAAATTATCGTAACACTACTATCTATGTGAAGCTTTTATAAATACACAAACAATTGGAGAAGGGGGGGGGGGTGATAAATTGACGAAAAAAATTTAAAACACTGTTAAATTTCTAAATAATTATTAGGTAGGCTTATAATGAATTCTTAAACGTAAAAAAAATACCTATAGAAAAATGGTAATCCAAAAAAAAATCACACCTGAATTATCTAAGAGGACGAGAAAGGTTGAAAATACAACAGCATCGATACAAAAATAATATCCAGTTTGCTATAACTAAATCCGCTCAAGATTTTATAAGCTGTTTGCTAATCTTAACTCAGTGCTTGCAGACGGCGTGGATATGACGTGTCGTACCGTCTGAACTCTAGACATTTGCGCGCGGGTTTTTTAAACGAGTAGGAAGCAAAAACTGGGCGTGAGTACTATGAGTAATAGAATTGTATGCACGTGAGAGTGTGGGTTAACTGGTTAGAAGTGTTGACATTACTCGTGAAATTCTTGGTTTTCATTACCGTCTTCTGCTTCGTCAGATTATAAAATCATTTTAAGATCGTGCACATATTATCATAACATAACACGAACACGGTGGTCTAGTTTCTTTTTTCCTTATATAGAATAATAATAATAATTGAATTTCTATTTTTTTTAACCATATTAAATGATATTATGCTATAAGAATCAGCACCATCATCATTTCACGTCTGTGAAATTTACACAGACGTGAAATTACATACTTGTGTATTGTAAAGATATGCTTTGTTTTGTTTTTTGTTATGTAATATGTTTACGATCCCTGCAGATGTATATATATATATATATATATATATATATATATATATATATATATATATATATATATATATATATATATATATATATATATATATATATATATATATATATATATATATATAATATGTTGATTTCTAGAAAAAATAAAAGTGCAAAGCCAGCAAACAAATACTATTTGCTATAACTATTTAAGCGTTGTTTATATAAAATCGATTTATATACATCGAGATGCCTAAAGCCACCCAGACTAGCGAGATTTAACATTGACATTTGAATTAATGAACCCGGACATAAGACAAGATGGTTACGTCCCTTTGGTGAAACGTACGTACAAACATTTCAAACAGATGAATAAAGCCTGTTGTATGTTACAACACTATATATATATATATATATATATATATATATATATATATATATATATATATATATATAGCTATATATATTTTTATTTATTTTTTTTATTTTTATACATACACACATACCATAAACATATATGTAAATATAAGCTTAAAATGTATATACCATATATATATATATATATATATATATATATATATATATATATATATAGGCTATATATATATATAGGCTATATATATATATATATATATATATATATATATATATATATATATATATATATATATATATATATATATATATATATATATTATATATATATTTATTTATTTATTTATTTATATATATATACATATATGTATGTGTGTATATATATAATAAATTTAAAGCAAATATCTACATATAAAACGAAAGAAAAAGTTACCATTTGATCAGCATCACATCCCAAAACACAGATGTACTCCGCGAATTGAATAGTTCACCTGTGCTCTAACAATGTTAACTGTCACACGCTAAAGCTGTACTTAACCAAACAAACCACTAAACAGGTAACGCAAAGTGACAGACGCTCTTCAGTCTAGCAATAGATTTTTTTTTTAATTCTTCTTATTTAATTATTTTTAATGCTGTGCATTTCACAGCTAGATAATTACTTTAAAATTTGACAATGATTCTCAAAATAAGTTGTTATTTTTCTTTTAATAAAATCGAGTTTTTTTCAATTGCTTATCGAACTTCATGTCGAACTTGACGGTCCTTGTGACAAGTATATAATAATTATATTTGCCCAATTTAAACTATTTGTATTCAGTTTTTTGTCGGCATCTATTTGGGGCAAAAGGGGGAAGGGCAAGGTTTGCGACCCGCCCCCCTCCCCCTTCCCAGTGGTGTAGCTAGGATCGTCTCAAGGGGAGGGGTTCCAATTTTTACCCGGGGACAAACTTTCGATTTGCACCCCCCCCCCTCAAACTTTCGATTTGCACCCCCCCTCATACTTTTTCTATATAACGAGGGGTCTATGGGGGGGGGTTATGACCCCCCCTAACCCCCCCTTCCTACGCCACTGCCCCTTCCCCCCTCCCCCAACTAACAAAATGGAAAAATAGAATTGATGTATAAAACAATATATACTTTCACCATCATTCGCCCCCCACCCCCGGGTCGGAGATGAATGTTTGAAAGAAACCCTGCTTGTGTTAATGTATATGCGTATATACTTTTCTGCAATGTAATGCAAGATCTTTTTTTCTTTATTTTTTCTTTATTTAACGTTGCAATTATTACACAGTTGAGCATTTTACTTTTCTCCTGTTAGTTCTAGAAATAGAAATCAGATATTGAATTTATTCTTTAAAAGACTTCATACTTTATCCAGGTTCTAGTCAGTAGAAAGCCCCTGAATCCAACCAGCTCTAATGGGTACCTAAACCAGGTTAAGAAAAGTAAAAGAGGCTGGGCATAGTTCTGACCACAATATCCCTTCATATGAATAAGAAAACACTGGGTGGGAGGGGGATAGCTGCAACTCGGTAATCTACCACCTACCCTCCCTCCCCCCCTCCCCCCCCCTCCCCCCCCCCCTCCCCCCCCCCCCCCCACCCCCACCCCCCATGGTCCGCCACTGTGTGAATGGTTGTGGGGGTTGGTCCTTGTGCAACTCATACAACCGTTTGCTATGTGTGGGTAGATCAGACAAGTAAATCCCTTATTTTACGCAATGCCAACCATATAAACAACAACTGAGCAACACATAAAAATGAGAATAATAAATTAACAATCAAATGAACACCACATAAAAATGCGAATAATAAATTAACAATCAAATGAAGACAGGACGTAATGAGAGCAGAATCGATTTGATTGTAATCTCCAAAACAGCTTGCTGAACTTCAAAACTAGGTCAAAGGGAAACAACTTTTTTTTAAACGAAATATTTTGTAAATGGCATGTTTTCCATATGTGAATATTATGATGTCACATTGTTTGGTGGGAGAGGGGTAGATTTGAGTAATGAGGTGTTACGTTGGGATGTAGGAGGGAGTCATAAATGAGGAGGGGCACTGCATCACCCCTCTCCGATCCCTTTTCAGACGATATAGAAATAGTACACATTTTTTTAGAGAAAATATATATTCAACAATTTTTAAAGTAGATAGTTATAAAGAAGTAAAACACCACCTCGTGGATAATTCCTCCCCTCCCCCTTCACCTACGTCGTTACCTCCCTGTCAATTACACCCCGCCCTAAAAAAACAGGCAGGACATTACACCCCCCCCCCCCCCACCCCCCCGGGTTCATTTAGAGTTAGACATGCGATCAGGGTTAAGATTAGGGTTAGGGATACGGTCAGCGTATGTTTATTCATGTTCGTAAATTTAAATTATTTTATATTGCATATATTACATTGTTGGGCGGAGTAATTACATGGAGGAGGAAGGGCTTCAATGACGGGGCGGGGGAGGTAAGTGACGGGTACGGGGTAAATGACGGAGGGGGGGGGCAACGTCATAAACCCTTTATTCTGTTAGTAAACATTTGCGCCAGAGAATAAATACAAATAGTTGCGGCTAAACTGTTGAGTCCGCCCCTGATCATCGGCGTACAACCACACCCCTATTGGGGTGTAATTGGGTGGTGGGGGGGGGGGGGGGTAGTGTAGGCGGGTTCGACATTTTTTTGTACAGCATTGACTTAACATCAGCTGTAGGTGCCAGTGATTAGCGTGTGTTTGATGACTATTTGCATTGGTAAACAGGGCGGCAATGTAAATTAGATCAGTGGGCGGTCGAGTTGGTGGGAGATGGAAATAGGAAGGTGGTGGTGTGTGCGTGTGAAGTGTGTGTGTGTGTGTGAAGTGTATGTGTGTGTGAAGTGCGTGTGTAGGTGTGTGTGTGGGGTGGGGGGTAGTGAATAGCTAATTTACATGAAATGGTTTGCGGTTGTTGATACACAGGTGTTAGCTGTGAGGAATGACATCTGGTCTTAATGAAACATCTGTGGCTTTTGAAGTTTTGTTTTTCATAGTTATGGTTGATGCAATACATGTGGGGGTTTTGATATTACGCCATGAATGATTATAGAAAATAATATAGGTAACACACACACATATATATATATATATATATATATATATATATATATATATATATATGTGTGTGTGTGTGTGGGTGTATATATATGTATAGGTTATAAATATATATGTATGTAAATAAGTATATATATATATATATATATATATATATATATATATATATATATATATATATATATATATATATATATATATATATGTATGTGTATATATATATATATACATATGTATACACATATATATACATATATATATGTGTGTATATATATATGTATAGGCCTATATATATATATATATGTATATTTATAAGTGTATATATATATATATATATACAAATATATATATATACATATATATACATATAAATACATATTTATACACATAAATACCTATATATACACATATGTATGCATATATATAACATTTTAGGGATTCTCCTATTTTACTCTACCTACTCACCCAAACGTAACAGCATCAAAAGATCTTGTTGTCATGCTGTTTTACCTTGATCAAGCCAGTAATTTAACCCATAAATTATTTCATCATCAGCGTTTTGTCAGACAGCACAGGAGCAGGACATAACCCCCCCCCCCCCCCCCCCCAATAACTTCAGTAATCCCCGCAACCCCCCTCACTTAAACCTGCAGTAGGACATCGCCAGAGACTGTTATTTATAGATAGATAAATACAACAGATACAAGATAGTGATAGGCTTTAGTTGCAGGATATGGAGAGTGACAAGTGTGTTTTTATGGGGGGGGGGGGGGTAGTATTGATGGGTAGTATTAGAAGGGGGGGAGGTGATGTCCAAAAACCAGCAAGCATTATGAGGATCTTACTGGAACCATAAGGTCCAGTAAAGCTAATACAGCATCGAGTGAAGATATTGTCACAAGCTTTTACTTATGTCACAGCGTATGCGGATTTGTGGCAAATCTTGTAACTCAATTTTAACCAGCGATTAACTTTACAGATACAGTTCTTCTTTGTTGATAATCTATTTCTCATCTAATTAGATAGGAAATTAGTTAATAAAATTTTATATAATAAAATTTCTAAATTTAGTAACAAATCACAAGCATTCATTTGATTAGTCTTTTTTTTTTACAAAGGTAAACTTTTTTTTTTTTAAAAGCTGGTTGCCTTCTTGCCTTAGCATGGACCATGAACAAAGTAGTGGCAGAGATAATTTTCTTTTAGAGATCACTAGCTGCTGATCTGGTTTTAACACAAATATTTTAGTCGCAGCCTATGTAGTGTCAACGTCATTTCCAAACGAATGGCTAACAAGTGGGAAATATAACAAATATAAAAAAAAAACGTTCTAATAACAAGCTTTAGTTTTAAATGAACAGAAAAAAACAGGAAAATAAAATAAACTTGCTTTCTTTAATAAACGCTTTGGTTGCTAAAATATTAATTGTTTATTAAAGAAAGCCAATTTTTTTTTCCTTATTTTCAGTGCATTTAAAAAGGCTGTTGTTATAAAGGTTTTTATATTAGCTATATCAAATACCAATTTCGCCTTATCAGGCACTAACCCTACTTCCTTAACAAACAAAACCAGCATGATGCTTGTTAAAAAAAAATTTAATGGGAGTTTTGTGAACAAAGAAAACAGAGTGTAACCCTGGCGCCATGTTTTACAAAAAAATATTTGTTTTGCCAGCCATTCATGTTGGATGTTAAATGTCAAAGTAAATCCCAGGGCATGCTGCCAATCAATTATAAGCCCACCAGACACTATGTAGGTCGACCAGACACTATCTAGGTCGACCAGAAGGTATTTAATTAGGTTGACCAAACACTATGTAAGTTGACCAAACACTATGTAAGTTGACCAAACACTATGTAGGTCAACCAGTCACTATGTAGGTCAACCAGACAATATCAAGGTCGACTAGTCACTATCCAGGTCAACCAATCACTATGTAGGTCACTGTGACCTGACATGCAACTTGCTGGAGCTAATTAAAACAGGTTTGTAACACTTAAACAAATGACAAAAAAAAACCAAACCATGTTAATTATAAATCACTCAAGCTTTTTATTTACACACCCTCAACATTGTTGAGATAATCCTTGAGAGCTGAGTCATTTTCTCCCACCCTTCAGATTATTTTGTCCTTGACATTAGTATTTTGTGTAATGTTGCAATCTAGAGAAGAAGAAAAAAAAACATCATACACACGTGATAAAATGACTGATACAACATGACCTAACCCCACCTTCACACTAAACATGTGACACCTAAAAATGGAACCTTGAACCCAACACACAATCCTAACCCTAAACACTAAACATCCAACACCTAAAAATAGAAACTTGTAACCAACAAATCCTAACCACACCCCAAACTAAACATCTGACAGCTAAAAGTAGAACCTTAAACCCAATACACAATCCTAACTCCACCCCAACAGTGGTTTGTTTCAAAGCGTTTAACCATTGTGACATAGTTATAGCTGTTTATTATAATACAGACACACACTCAGGGGTAAAACTTTACATTTAACCAGTATGTGTAGACCCTACAATATGGGTAGACAACCCCTCACAATGGGTAGACAACCCAACAATAAAGGTAGACAACCCCTCACAATGGGTAGACAACCCAACAATAAAGGTAGACAACCCCTCACAATGGGTAGACAACCCAACAGTAAAGGTTGACAACCCCTCACAATGGGTAGACAACCCAACAATAAAGGTAGACAACCCCTCACAATGGGTAGACAACCCAACAATAAAGGTAGACAACCCCTCACAATGGGTAGACAACCCAACAATAAAGGTAGACAACCCCTCACAATGGGTAGACAACTCCACAATATGGGTAGACAACCCCTCACTATGAGGAGACAACCCCTCACTATGGGTAGAGAACCCATCATAATTCAATTAGTAGCCAGCCTGTAGACAACCCATCATGTCACAGGGGATAGACAACCCATTATGTCACTGTAAGGAGACCACCTTGTCATGCCACTATGAGGAGACAACCCACCACCACAGATGACAACCCACCACCACAGAAGACAACCCACCACCACAGAAGACAACCCACCACCACAGAAGACAACCCACCACCACAGACGACAACCCACCACCACAGAAGACAACCCACCACCACAGAAGACAATCCACCACCACAGAAGACAACCCACCACCACAGAAGACAACCCACCACCACAGAAGACAACCCACCACCACAGAAGACAATCCACCACCACAGAAGACAACCCACCACCACAGAAGACAACCCACCACCACAGAAGACAACCCACCACCTCAGAAGACAACCCACCACCACAGAAGACAACCCACCACCACAGAAGACAACCCACCACCACAGAAGACAATCCACCACCACAGAAGACAACCCACCACCACAGAAGACAACCCATCACCACAGAAGACAACCCACCACCACAGAAGACAACCCACCACCACAGAAGACAATCCACCACCACAGAAGACAACCCACCACCACAGAAGACAACCCACCACCACAGAAGACAACCCACCACCACAGAAGACAACCCACCACCACAGAAGACAACCCACCACCACAGAAGACAACCCACCACCACAGAAGACAACCCACCACCACAGAAGACAACCCACCACCACAGAAGACAACCCACCACCACAGAAGACAGCCCACCACCACAGAAGACAACCCACCACCACAGAAGACAACCCACCACCACAGAAGACAACCCACCACCACAGAAGACAACCCACCACCACAGAAGACAACCCACCACCACAGAAGACAACCCACCACCACAGAAGACAACCCACCACCACAGAAGACAACCCACCACCACAGAAGACAACCCACCACCACAGAAGACAACCCACCACCACAGAAGACAACCCATCACTACAGACAATCCATCATGTCAATAAAGGTAGACAACCCATCACTTAGATAAGAATAAATACATTATTGGTAAACTTATTTAAATCTTTGAATGAACAATTTAGATACAATCATGTTATGGAATTACACAGCGTTAAAAATTGACATTTTACAAGAGAGTTTACAAAAAAAAAACTATTAAAAAACATCGACTTCCACTAGAAGTAAGCCCAACAAAAAATGGCCACTGGGGTGATATCATGATCTAGATAAACAACTACAACATAGATTGGACTAAACAGAAGAGAAATTGGAGAAATATAATTGAACGTTTGGAGTTCCATTACAGAACAGCAGTGTTGGGGGTTAAAGAGTTAAGCTTTCCTTTTTTAACTGCTTTAAAGCAGATCATATATAGACTCCATGTACTAATGTTTACATCATACCACAGTGTAATAAACAATAATGTAAAATCATATAAATAAAAACCCTACCTGTATAACAAACAGCGTCCTTTATTGTTCCCTAAAGCCAAGTATCCGCTGGATGGAGAAAAATCCATGGAGAGCAGAGTGTGGATATCATTATCAAACTGCTCGGGGAAGTTGGGAAGCACAGTTAATGATGGGAAGTGGACCTGAGGAAACATCATTAAAATTGTATGAGAACTTATGGATACGAGAAAACATGATTAAAATTGTATGAGAACTTATGGACATGAGAAAACATGATTAAAATTGTATGAGAACTTATGGACATGAGAAAACATGATTAAAATTGTATGAGAACTTATTGAAACGAGAAAACATGATTAAAATTGTATGTGAACTATTGGACATGTGAAAACATGATTAAAATCTTATGTAAACTTGCAGACATGGTAAAACTATGCCAAGAATCAAATCTTTGCACTACAGTAATGATTGAATAAATAAATCAATAAAATCAAATATGTTTAGGAAATACTGATGGTAGGAAAGTAGGTGGGTTTGGTTTTTGAAAGAGTTAGTTTTTTTCTGAATTCTTAATGGGTTCAATTAAGTAGAATATTATTGGGGTGCTTGTTCTACTCATAGTACTATTAGGCGACATTTTTAGACTATTTCATTCCCTAATCAGAGGAGAAAGGGTGGTGGCTTATTGACAAATTGGGCTTCAAGAGGAATATAAAGAGTTAAATAAGTTTTGTCAAAGTATTTTATCAAACAGCTACAGGCATGTTTAAAAATTAAGCTATTGCATTTAGCACCCAAAATACCTCTTTATAGTTGTATATTATTATATACTAGCCATTGGTACCCGTTTCACGTGAATTATAGGCCTATATATTTTAAAATGTTGTACTTGTTTGAGAAAAATAATTTATGAAATAGTTATTGGTCAAAACGCAATGTGCTTTACTACGAGCTGAACGATATTAGTGACAAAGCAAAGAAATAACTAATTAGCTAAAAATCCGACACATTTAACATGACACAGGCACACACTGATTACGTGACTTAAATGATTCCGTTAAAAATCTGGCTATTCAATGGTCATTATGTTGTTTTTAAGTAATTTGTATTAGTGAGTAGATCTATAGATCTAGATCTAAATCAAATTTGAATGAAGTAGTTCCTTTCTTTATAGTCTAAAATCGGAAGATTCATATATATAAAAAAAAATTAAGTTTGACTTGGAGTGTCTCGATCCCGTACCACCTGCGTGGTATTAAGTACACTATCATCTCAGCTATTTAGGCACCATATAAAATATGGAGAATGAAAGATGTATTTTAAAAACTTAACTTACGCGATCATGCCTATTCTTTCAAATTAATTTTTTTTATCCCAAATTAGCCAGTTCCATAGCTAAACAAACAAAGATTTCTATAAATATAGAAATATAGACATTTATTTTCGGAATAGATTCTAGATCTAGCCTATATCTAGAATCTCTAAATCTAGAATCCAAATAGATAAAATAAATTTTATAAGTTTAGGCCGGAAAAATTGTATTGTATACATTTGATAGCGTACGTAGATCTAAATCAAATTTGAATGAAATAGTTCATTTCTTTTTATCCTAAAGGCAGATGACGTCATTAGTTAATGTATAAACATTAGTGACGTCATTGTTTCATGAGTTCTTTTTCACAACTATAAACACTTTTCCTGCTGCATAATTAAAACTGTTTTTCTACATTCGAATAAGCCTTTATTTTTAATTTTTCTTCTTTAAATAAAATGTTGATTATACATTTAAAACATCTACCATATTATTTTTCAACAAAAGTCCGTATCAAGCTCTATATATCGTTGAAGATTCTGATGTGATACCCTGCGAAAATATTTTGCGGAGAGAGAGTGAGAGAGAGAGAGAGAAGTGCGCACATGGGCTTTTATATATTAGGATTTACAAATAGACACCATTCATTACTTTGATACAACAAGGAAACTACCACACAACAAGGAAACTGTGATATAACAAAACATACCAGCCTTATGGCTTTCTCTGTGTCCTTTGACCTCAAGGCCAGTAACTCTGACTGTGGGTTGAAAAGGGCACCAGTGCACTTGGTGGTCAAGTTCTTTATGTGCTTCAGAGGTTTGGGGTGTCTGGTGGACATGGCCGTTTCTCTGTCGTAAATTGTCACTATACCACTCTTAGACCTGTGGATCAACACCATGTACAATAACATTAAAAGATTTTAAAAAATGCTTTAGCTCAGCTGCTGAATTTAAATCATTTTTCAATTATTGACTATTTCCTACTAGTCAATGAAAGATAACAAAATAATTTCAACACTACTTGTATAAATTTGATGAACTGCTTATAATCATCTTTAAAAAGATGTGATTACAAGAATTGAAAATAAACATTATTTCTAGTTTAATGAGCAATAACAAAACATAGAAGGAAATAAAACAGTTTTTATTTACATTAAATTTTTACCATTTAGATTTTTAAATTAAATTATTTAGGCTTAGACTTAGACTGATACTTAAGTGAGACTGATTGCTTTGATTTCTGTTTTACTTTTATAAAAATAAATTATGCAAGACTTTATAAAAAAATTATTACGTATAATGATGTTTTAAAAGTTAATTATAAAAACATTTTTATCATTAAGAGTTATAGAAAAATTAGTTTATAAAGTTATATTGCTTGGAAGAATACACTATAAAATTCGTATAAACAAATTCATTATGTATAATTAGTTTTAAAGTGTATTTTAAGATTAAAATATCAGTTGTGATCAAGGGAAGTAATTTACAAAAACCAAATTTACAATCAGGATCAAGCCAGGAAGGTGTGGGTTAAACAGGCTGAATGGATCTCCAGCATTAGAGAGCAAAATGTCACTGACCCACACACCAGGTAGTTGTTGTCAGGTGACGCTGCCACTGTGACCCCGTTGATGCAGCCCTCGTCACTGAAGTGGTGGACACAGTCCCTGGTGTCCATGTCCCACACGTACACCCTGCCTTCACCTGGCACAAGAAAAAAATTTTGTTTACACAAATCTAATGAGAAAAATAGTTTAAATCTCTTAAACTCAAAATGTTAAATTTGTAAACTCATCATCATCTTTTCCCGTTTGTGCCCAAGAACATGGGGCAGATGAATTAACTGTAAAGTTCATCTGTTTCAGAGACCTCGGCATTTGAAGGAATAGTGTGGTCAGCAGGGAGCCGGACGTTTTCCCGAAAGACACTTGCCCGAATGCCGTTTGCCCGAAGGCCGATTTCCCGAATGGACACTTGCCCGAATGCGACAAATGCCCGAATGGACACTTGCCCGAATGCGACAAACGCCCGAATGGACACTTGCCCGAATGCGACAAATGCCCGAATGGACACTTGCCCGAATGCGACAAATGCCCGAATGGACACTTGCCAGAATGCGACAAATGCCCGAATGCCACTTGCCCGAAGGCCGTTTGCCCGAAAAATGTAAATATTAGATAATAAATTATATTTCCAAATAGACATTCTTTAATCAATTTAAGTTTGACATTTTGATTATAAACACAATTCTAAGCATAAAACAAAGTTGTTTATATTTTTAAGTTTAGCTTTTATTTTTTTTTCAAAACTGAGAAAGAGCTGTAAGAAAAACTTTATTCTTTAATAAATGTAAGGTGATGTTGGCGGCGGTGTTCTAACATTCTTTCGATGTATGTTTTGAACACCTTGTTTAGCCGACGTGTTGCGGTGGTTATATAGCTTTTATGACACGGCGTAGGCGGCGCGGCGTCTCGCAACATTGAACAGAGGCGCGTTTGTTTGTTTATTTTATTATGCTTACCTTGTGTGGTGATCATTTAACAAAAGAATGAGGCGAGGTCTAGGTGGCAAATTTAAAAACTAAACGTAGTCAAATATGTTTGATTTCCATTTAATGCACCTTGTTAAGACAATGTGTTGAAGCGATTACTTAATAAAGAAAGCAAAACTCATTTTAAAATCCGGAGATGAATGAAAATTGTATTTTCGTCTAATTTCATATATGGAAGAGAAAGTATGTTTCTACACTTTTTAAATATCAAATACAAATTAATTTAAAATGTCTGCGTGGAAATATATAATATTATTTTTTTCACTTTCTTTTTGCGTAGATGTGTTTTGTTTACCAACATTTTAAATTTAAATTGATTACGAATGATTATTTAGTAATATATAATGTTAACATTTTTCGGGCAAACGGCCTTCGGGCAAGTGGCATTCGGGCATTTGTCCCATTCGGGCAAGTGTCCATTCGGGCATTTGTCGCATTCGGGCAAGTGTCCATTCGGGCATTTGTCGCATTCGGGCAAGTGTCCATTCGGGCGTTTGTCGCATTCGGGCAAGTGTCCATTCGGGCATTTGTCGCATTCGGGCAAGTGTCCATTCGGGAAATCGGCCTTAGGGCAAACGGCATTCGGGCAAGTGTCTTTCGGGAATTTGTCGTAGACCCTGGTCAGCACTATGCCCAGCCGCCTCTACTTTACCTAACGTGAGCTAATTACCCATCAAAGCTGGGTGGACTCAGAGACATTCTGCTGACTTGAACCTGGATTCGAACTCGAGACTTTCATGTTAGCAGCCTAGCTCTCTACTGCTAGGCCACGCAGTCCCCATGGAATGAAATAGTAAACAGAAAATTCCACTCAAAACATCACTTACTTCCAAATGAATACATGTATTTCCCATTGCTTGAAAAACATACACTAGACACTTCTTCATTCATTTTCACTGAATCTATTAATTCTTTACTCTGAAAAATTTATGGACAAATTTATGATCTAAATATTAAAATTTTAAAATAAAAATGACATTATATTTTTTTATTTAAAACAAGCTCACCACTAGTAGATTAATGATACATATTTTTACAAAGGTGAGTAGATGTTGGAAGTACTTAGTGTTTCTTTTATTCATAACAATGGTAAAATGTGTGAATTTTAGGGAATTTATTTTGTTACACAACAAAACTTATTTAATAAAAAGGTTTTTTTGTTTTCTTTAACTTACTGTTTGAGAAAAAAGGTGAATGTATCCAAATTTTCCAAGGAAAGCAATAAATCTGCCATCTGGTGACACCACAAACTTTGACATGCCCTTGACTTCTAGACCTGAAGGAAATAAAAGGTACAGGTAAGCTTATGAAACCATATTGGATTGTATGGGCAAGTGGTATGTCCTTAACTTCTAGACCTGAAGGAAAAAAAAAGGTAAGCTTATAAAATCATATTGGATTGTATGAGCAAGTGGTATGGCTATAACTTTTAGAACTAAGAGAAATATTAAGGTCAAATCAAAATCCTAGCTGGACAACTAAAAGATGAGGAAGAATCACCATTTCATCAGCAGACCACAATGTAAATAATTTAGACCACGGGTTCCCAAACTGGGGGTCGTGACCCCCAGGGGGATCACGAAGGGTATTTTGGGGGGTCGCCAACTGGTAGACAAACCCTTAGCAATGAAAAGAAAAACATAATTATTTAGAAGAATATCTGAAATTCAGCCTTACTAACATCACTGGAAATGGAATAAAGAAAAAACAATGTGTACTGTGCAAAGTTGTTCTCATCAACGAGTCTATGAAAACTTCAAAACTAAAACGTCATTTTGAGACGAGTTATTTGGAATACACTAAAAAGATAGGGAGTTCTTTCATCACTTAATTTTTATAAAAGAGGGTTGTCACTAGAAAAAGTTGGAGAACCACTGATTTAGACTAATGATCCCACTTGCTATGCAGAGCATGCAAATGTGTACATTAAGTGACATAAATTAATTCAATACATTTACATAATTATTAGTAACAATGCTAAGGCTATCAACCCCAACAAAAGAAATTTTAGTGACAAAAGTATTGATTTTCCATAATAATCAACTTCTGTCCTTAACTTTTTAAAGAATAGTATATAATACTTTTCACACCATTTATATACAAGATAACTACACCCAATTTTATATTTTCATTAAATTTATCTGCATGATGATGATAACAGGCGTTACTCATACTATGTTGTTTTTTTTAAAATAAAGGAATTGCCCGAACTGTAATTTTAATCTACACTACTCATAGCTACAAAAAAACTGTTGCCTTATGATCATTTTATAAATATGTATGGATAGACAATTATTATTATGATTAAAACTTACGGTAAAAAACGTAGATGTAGAGTAACGGTTTTGGCATAATCCTAATATCCTAACCTGGGTGTCAAAATCTTAACATTACGGGAAAAAAATCTAAATATGCTGTGCCATACAGTCTTGATAGCAGACCTACTAAAGATGACAGTGTAAAATTTAGCCTGCTAAACAGACAATATTAACCAATCTGACCTTTGATTTTTGGCCTGTATGTGAGTAAATTTAGCCTGTTAAACAGACAATATCAACCAATCTGACCTTTGATTTTTGGCCTGTATGTGAGTAAATTTAGCCTGCTAAACAGACAATATTAACCAATCTGACCTTTGATTTTTGGCCTGTATGTGACCCCACTGTTGCCCTCCATATCAAACACCAGAAAACTCTTGCGCTTGGACCCTATGATTATCTCGCTGCCCCCTCGACTGAAGTGTGTACAAAACACGGGGTTCTTCTCTATGAACATGCTGTGTATCTTTCTGTTCTTGTTGCCGTCAACCTGGTGGGGAAAAGCATTGTATCACAATTTATCTTCTTCGTGTTCGTTCTTAATTTTTAGTGTTGAAAGGATCGAGCATTATCTGCCAGAGGGTTTGAACTCAAGACTTTTTCAAATTTAAAAACCATGAGCTTTGCCGACTCGACCACACCTCCAACACAATTAAGTATACATATCAACTGGTTATGTGCCACTGAGGCCATTGACTCCAATTTCAGCCTGCTTTTCTTTTTGGATTTGTTTCCATAGCATTTGTCCAACCAAGAACAAACTACAAGGCAGCAGTTGTTTGATTTTGGAGTTGTCTCTCCTAGAAGAGTGGCTGTCCCCAGCAAACGAGCCTCATCTGCCAGAGGGTTCGAACTCGAGATTTTTCGGTTTAGCAAACATGAGCTTTACCGACTCGAGCACGCTGACCCCTTCACAATTTAGAAATTACTGGGTTTCTACAGCTTTATCTAAGGTAAATTCCTCAACAATTTCCACTGGATAAATTCCGCTGGAAACCAGTCCAGAGGAAGTGAAGACATCAACTAACTTTGGCAGCATCCTTAACCAGTGTTTTTGTCATCCCCTCGCTTCCCCCGTTTAAGAGAAAAATATCTGACAGAAACACTGAACATAGATGACGTTATACATATATATTTATAATTTAGCAGATACTTATAAAACATGGCGAAAATTGTAGTTCATTCAAATTACCGTAAAACATTTATTTTATGCGGCGAGTAATTAATGTTTAATAAACGTCATCTTTCTCAACCCAGTTGTCAGAAACTAAAATTTTACAAGGCTAATCCTAAATAATTTTACTCTAGTAAAATCATGATTTCCAAAACAATGCCAGCGATATAATATTTAAATGATTTAAATGACTATTGTAAATTATCACCAAATTGTCACTAATTTATCAACATAGATGTAATAGGCAATGTCACATATCACTCATATGGTTTATTTTTAATTAAGCCGACTACCGACTAATTGGAACTGCATCAATACAAAGAGAACTATACAAATTATTCAAATGCAAAAATAATTCTACCTAGAGAAATCTAACATGCATGGGGTTAGGAATGGCAAAACATAAAGAATTACAATACATATGATAAATTAATAGAAGAAAACAAACAACTCACTGCAAAAAGACGAACTGTTTGGTCTGGTCCACCTGTAAGTAAAACTGTGGCACTTGGGTGGAACTCAACACTTCTTAAACTAGCCTACACAGTCGAGAGAAAACAGCGCAAATTAAAATGTTTAGTACGCAAAAATAATAGGGGGGGGGGGGGTGATGAAAATAAAACAAAAGATAAATAAAAAAATAAAAAAAGGATGGTCTATTCTGGAGAAAATTAAAATAATTAAATGCTTTTAAAGTTTGAATTTTTATAGCAGCTACAAAAGTTAATAGAACAGCTGCAGATTACTGTTTCAAGACTGGTTTATTTTTATTTTAGTGACTTGATTTATTAGCAAGAACGTTAGCTTTGAAGACCTCAGTTGCGCAATACAATTTTTAAAAAAAAACAGAATGTAACATTAATTTATTTTTAAATCAAGTATTCTATCAGGGTTGGTGCAGTTGGGGGCAAATGAAAAGGGCATGGTTGCTAACCTCCAATACTCAAACATGGAGATTAGCAACTCTGGTTCCATATTGGCAGCTCCTGCGAAACAACTGATGCCAAGTTGTATAGGTAACGCACTGCCTCTTGGGTCCATTAGGCCAGAAAGAGCCTCATACGTGGGCAACATCTGGTTTTTCTAAACTTGCTACTCAGTCCATCAGACTATGTAGCCATTTTTTTTTTTATTAATGATGCAAGTTTAACATGCGGCTTAAAGCCAGCATACAGTACAGGCTCTGCACATAGGCTAGAGGGTGATAGCATGGCCAACACTGCATCTATTTCTCCTTACTTCACTGGTTTCTACGATGAACTTTTAAATATCTAGAAATCACGGCAAATATAATTTGCTTCATAACCATGAGGTTCTGAAAGATTAAACACTACCTTTCAAACAAGGTGTGTCTTACAACAACAAACCAACCTTGCTAGGATCTTCCTTATTGCCGTCTGTCACTCGCTTGAATTCTAAAGCACTGGAGGGGAGGGTCACAGAAGCTTCCAGATTACGATGACTGTGAGCCTTCAGTATTTCTTCATCACTGTCTGTTAAGTAGATCATTATGTTAAAAACTTTATTTAGGTGGAAATAGGCTAATTGTTAAACACAGCTATTGCACTGTACATTCTTCAAAGTGAAACATAATATAGCAACAATAACAGTAAATTCGTGTACTAGATGTGTTGATACTCTAGCCAGGGTTCCCACAATTTTTTTACCAGAAAATTCCCTGCTATTCCAAGAAATTCCCTGCTATTAACACGTATAGCCTAAACTAAATTTTAAACCAATCTTGAAACAGAAAAAATGACGTCATGCCAATGTTGGGTAACCCTAAGCTAGCATAGCAGTAGATGTACCGTGTGATGGGCGGAAACAGATAAAAAAGGCACCACGAGAACCGGCGAGACTAGTTTTGTGCGTCAAAACTAGATTACGAAAGGAGGCGAGACTAGCGATTGGATAGGCCTATACCCGGTTCAAATCTCGCTAAACCCGAAAGAAAAAAAACCTGGGAAGCAGATTTCACTGTGTTTAAAGATATTTCCTGGCTATTCATCAAAATTCCCGGTTTTCCTGGCCGGGAAATTAAATTTAGAAATTCCCTGTATTTTCCCGGTTTCCCGGCTGCGTGGGAACCCTGTCTAGCAAGTAAATTCACTTTAGACCTGACAGTCCTAAAGGCAGCTTAAGTTGGATTGTTCAGTTGTTTTTCTTCCTAGGCATATGAAAGAACAGAGAAGACACAGACCTCCAAATTTTGAAATTGAGGTGGCAGGGCACTATCACTTGACCACTTGAGTTGTTCAGTTGTTTTTTTTTTCCTAGGCATGTAATGGATTTAGGTGATCACCACTATGCCACCTTTACCTCAATGTCCGGTGCCTATCAAAGCTAATGAACAAAGTGGCCTGATATAGAAACAAAGCTAATGAAACAAAGTGGCCTGATATAGAAACAAAGCTAATGAAGAATTGGCCTGATATAGAAACAAAGCTAATGAACAAAGTGGCCTGATATAGAAACAAAGCTAATGAAACAAAGTGGCCTGATATAGAAACAAAGCTAATGAAACAAAGTGTCCTGATATAGAAACAAAGTGGCCTGATATAGAAACAAAGCTAATGAAACAAAGTGTCCTGATATAGAAACAAAGTGGCCTGATATAGAAACAAAGCTAATGAAACAAAGTGGCCTGATATAGAAACAAAGTGTCCTGATATAGAAACAAAGTGGCCTGATATAGAAACAAGTGGGGGAATCCTATCTCAGCTGAATAAACCTCAGTCATTTGGCCTTGTGGGACAATGTGGTCAAATGGCAGAGCCTTTTCAAGTTTGAGTCGAAGGTGAGAGTTGTAGCATGCCCCTGAATCCAACCAACTCTGAAGGATACCTGGCTTATGTTAGGGAAAGTAAAGGTGGCTGGGAATAGTGCAGAGGTAAAAAGAAAAAAACAGGTGAATTCTATTTCATTTTTTTTTTGTTGGCCTTGTGTTTTTTGAGATCTCGGTAACACAATTTCGTAGAAGATCTATTGCGATAATATGTGTCTAGAATCTTAAGGAAACTTAAATAAACTCAAAACAAACCATCAGACTTTTCATCTTCAAATTTCTCAGCCCAATTAGGTTTTGCTGTCTCAAATCTGAAAAATGTCATATAACAATAAATTAAAAAAAATTTCTTTGTAGTTATTAAATCCTTTAAATAAAACACATTAAAAAATATGACCATAATTTTTATAAATAGAACACTTACTCAACAACTTGCTCATCATCAGAGTCTTCCCATTTCTTTACCTCCTCTCCTTGACTTAACTTTCTTTTCCTACGTTTTCTTTTTTTATCCTTTTCTTCAGACTATGGATTCAATAAAAAAAACATTATTACGTACTTATCTGCAAAAAGATTTCATTTTTAATTTCAAGAAGGTCTCAAGATCAAATCTCAGTTCAACCTATTGCCATTAGGATATCCTTTAGTTAACCCAGCGCTGATGGGTACCTGAATCACATTATGGAAACAAAGGCAATAAATGAATATTGCTGACTACACTATTCCTTCAGATGCCGAGGTCATTGAATCAGATAAAATTAACTTCCCCACTTGTCTTGAGCACAAACGGGAAAAGATGATGAGAATTATTTATTCTGCTGGGATTAGAGCTAGTCTAATAAAACGAAAAGTAAAATACCATACTTACAGAAGGCAAAGCTTCAATGACATTATCCCCATCACCAAGAACCTCCTCTTCTAGTAGAACTTCCCTTGCATCCTTGTAATCAATATCCCCTAAAGGTTGAATGGGAGTCTCTGAGGTTAACTGGTTGTGTTCTACTTGCGATTGCAGGAATTGCCTTCTTCTCAACATTGTGAGGAGTGAAAACTGAAATCTGGTTTAGAGTAGATCTAGCAGGTAGAATATATCTGTATCAATATATATTTCAGGAAAAGTAAAAGATACATTTTAATTAAAAAATTAAATTGTAGGCCTAATATGATAATATTGTTACTACCAGGAGCCAGGAGCTGTGCAATGTACTAGCCACTAGAGTTATCTAATAAAAGTAATTATTAAGTAATATGATACATCTACCTAGATGAGTCTAGAGTCTAGCTACCAGTAGCTAGAGCCCAGAGACTGTTTTCACTGTAGATTTTTAAATCGAGATCTAGCTAGTAGCTACTCTATATCTACTAGCTAGATAACTGGAAGAGTTATGCTGGAGTCACTATGACTGACTATGAACTATGAGTATAGGCCTACTCAGTATTTTTATTATAGTCACTAGTTCACTAGACCCCCCCCCCCCCCTAGACTCTAGAGTCCTAGAGTCAGAGTGACTAGAGTAGAGGAGTAGCTAGACAAGCAAGAGTTTCTTTTCCTAGTGGCCTTGGACTAAACTCCACTTCACTAGAGCTAGACCCACTAGACTCTAGAACTAGATAGATCTAGGGTAAAATCATGATATAGCGTCGGTTATTATTCCGGAACTGTACAGCAGTAAAAAACAGTAAAACCATGGCGTAGTCTGTCGAGCCGTTCCGGAAACCACCGGAAATACTGTAAACCATCATTTATTTGCCGCCATATTATTTTTAATAGGGCCTACATAATGTTGAAAAATGTGCAAGGATTGATTTTAGTTGCAATTTAAATACTGTTTTACTAGGCCTAATTATTTTGTATTTCTAATTATTTTAAGTGTATGTGCTAATTATTGCTGCTACTAAACATTATTCTAGTTATTCTTACTACTTTTAACTTTAGAAAATCTAATCGTCTAAATCTAATCGTCTTATTACTAACAACAGAACTAGAGCTGGTTGTCGCAAATCTTCTGCAGGTTTTTTCTGTTTCTTAAAAAAAAACATTAATTACTACCCTCGACTATATTAATAATATTTAGATTTACTAATTGTTGCTAATTTTTTGTCAGTTAAACATTAAATTAAGTTAAAACATTAATTTAAAGCACTTGAATTTATTTTTCTTTCAACGGTCAAATAAACTATGGTTTACAGTAACGAATGTTACCGAAACTCAACGAAAATTACCCAATAATTTCCGACGCTATATCGTGATTTTACCAGATCTAGATCTAGATCTAGTCTAGTAAATTTAGATAACTATTAACTAGATCAAGATCTTCGAGATCTAGATCTTGTAGTTGACTCAGGCACTCCTCGACCTCAAACTCAACTCAGTTCTGAGTTCTGAGTTTTACTTTTACTTTTGAGTTTACGCACGGCTACGGCGTTACCCATTCAATGCCATTCATTCATCAACATGTGTGTAGCTATTCTGACTATTCATTCTCCTTCTTCAACTAAATTCTAGATCTAGACTAGATTTCTAGATCTAGATCTAGATCTAGATCTAATAATGTTTTAAATATAGATCTACTTTAGGGCTAGATCTAGAATTTTTTTTAAGAAATCACAAACCTTTGATTTAGAATGTAATGTGTTGCTCGACACGTGAGAAATTTGTTTACAAAAATAAGATCAAGTAAAATCAATCCAACTGGCGCTTTGTATCTCTACTAACTTTCGAAGTAGAAAATCTAGATCTACTAGAACAGGGGTCTCCAAACTACGGCCCGCGGGCCGGATGCGGCCCGCGATGTCCTCTCATCCGGCCCGCTGAGATCTTTTTGTCCACGGAAATAACGTTTGTTGGTGATGGCTGAGGAGCTTTGCTCAGAAAAATAAAAGACATGTCTGAAAAAAAAAACTGGCCCCCGAGCTGAAATTTGATAGTTAATGCGGCCCTCGGGCTGAAAAGTTTGGAGACCCCTGTACTAGAACTAGAATCTAGATCTAGAACATGGGTTCCCAAACAGTGGGTCGCGACACAGTCCTTCGCGACCATCCCCCCCCCCATGGCGTAGCTAGGGGGTGCGACCGCCCCGGCGCCGACTATAGGGAGACGTCAAAAGGGATTAAAATAATTTTAAAGCTCATTTTAAGCTGTGGTTTTGAATTATAAGAAGTTTAAGTCTTAAAGTTAAGAAATTTTTAATATAACGGTTACAAGATACATACTGATTTAACTGTTTTCTATCTTGATTGTGTAAAACAAATACCCCTAAGAAAAAGCGAACGGCAAAAACTGCTTTTCAATTTGTTTCTCGACTGAGGGGAGGGGGGGGGGCTTTTTCGCTAAAAAAAGAATTTACACTGGATTGGTGAATAGATTAACTTTATCACTATGTGACTATAGAAGAAACCAATTGTATTAAAATATTAAAGCTCATTGTACGGCTGTGTAACCGTAAAAATGTTAAGACGATAAAACCCGCTCGTTATTCAAGACGGTGTGTGTGTAGGGGGGGGGGGGGGGGCTTTTTCGTAAACAAAAGTCGCAAGGATTTATACCAGAGTTTCTTCCAGGCATCTCTTCGGGGGGGGGGGGGGGGGCTTTCCCCCCCCCCCCCCCCCCCCCCCGAAAAATTTTTACCGCCCCCCCCCCCCCCCCGAACGAAATGAAATTTATATAATTTATATAGAAAATATATAATTTTAACAGTGTCGTCCCCCCCCCCCCCGAAGAAAGTCTACCGCCCCCCCCCCCCCCGAAAATTTCAAGTGCCCCCCCCCCCCGGAGAAAAAAGTCTGGAAGAAACACTGATTTATACTTGATTGGTGAGTATATAACTCTTTTAACACTTAGAAAAGAAATCAATTGTATTAAAGGGTATTGTGTAACAATAAAATAAGAAAAAATGTGTGTGGGGTCGCTTTTTCGTCACGGTAAATAGGAAGGATTTACACCGGAACGGTGAGTGGATTAATCGTTTTATACTTAGAATAGAAACCAATTGTATTAACGTGTAGTAATCCACGATTTCACTAGCCAGTTTTGTTAAATGACGCGATTAGTTCTTTATTCGATTCTTAGAATTCTCTCAACGTCAACGTGAGAGATCAGATACTTTTACTTTTACTGCATTGCATCTTGCCTGGATCCACCGTTTTAAAGAGAAATAAATATTACGGATTCTTGTGATCAGTAAAATAACATTCGGTCAGAGCGGGTAAGGCGATAACCTTTGGCCGAAATTTTACGAGCTAAGAAAAATATAACACGGCTTTCTATATTTAGAATTACATAATAAACCTGTTCACTAGAAAATTAGTATATTGTACCGAATAGATAATTTTTTTTTTAATTTCTTATTTCATAACAAGTCCTAATATTGCAATTTTTAAATAATTAACTTAGCTAAACTGGTACATTACGGCGATTACCTCTGCTTTGTTACTTTGTTCAACATAACTGATTAGGCCTATTTAAAACTGTACTGTAATATGCTAGTAGCGAAATTGTTCTAAACACACGACAAAAAGTGGACCAAACAAGCTTTAACCTTTTACTTTACAAACTACACTCTACTAAAGCAGTGGTTAGTAACCTATTTGGGGGTAAGAAACTCCAGCGGTTTCATATACGCATTCACCGAACCCTTCTTAATTTTCCATACAGACAAAATCCGATCGTGAATCATAAGAGTCGGGTGTGTGTCTTGACCTCCGCCGAAGCCCTGAGACTGACACGCCGAACATCTAGGGTTCGATCGAACCCAGGTTAAGAACCACTGCTCTAAACCAGTGGCTTAGCGAGGTCGGATATTACCCAGTGCGGCACTTAATGGTGTCACCCCTTCCCGGGGACAAACTTTCAAATTTTCGATTCGCACCCCCCCCCCCCTCAAATTTTCGATTTGCACCCCCCTCAAGTTTTTCTTTATATATTTTGCTATTTTTTGCCTTGGTGTCACCCCTTAAATGGTGCCACCCGGTGCGATCCGCACCCCCGCCCCCCCCCCCCCCCCTCGTTACGCCTCTGTTCTGAACTCATCTGATTTTCTTCTTTTTATTCGTTTTGGTTTCATAATGAGAATAGGGTAGGCAACACTTCGTCAACTCACATGATTTATATGAAGATCGATTGTGATAACACAGCTTCCCCATATCTATTTCAAACTATTTCCTTCATGACTTTTTTTTTGTATCCTTCTTCTCTTCGGCGGACTCTACACCAGCACCTGCTTAGTGATATTTTTTTCTGTCTTTCTGATATTGTGCCCTAACCACCACTTTATCGTTGCTCTTATTTCAATCTCCATTTTCTGTTACCTAGCTTCATATTTAGCTATAGATTCTGATTGATTTTCGTTTTGACAATGCATTTGAATTCCACATTGGTTCCAAGCCTATATCCCTGAGCTGAAAGAAGAAGATTCTGCATTGACACGTAACGTAAACCATTCTCTGCTTCCCTTGGTGTTGCCAGCATTCCCGATGAATTACAAGATAAGTTCTTGGATTTGTCGAATGATTCCGCGTCACGTACCGTGTTTAATGAAAATCTGCTCACGCCATTTTGGTGTAGTATGCACCATTCTTTCCCAAACGTGACATTGATTGTCTTTCGAGTTTTAGTTTCTTTTGTATCTACATAATATCTTTGCAAGGGAGGATTTTCAACACTTCTCCAATTAAAAACAAAACAAAGAATTAAATTAAGTGTTGAGAATGATATGAGGTTGGCGTTAACAAAATCTCCGCCGCGAATGTTGAGGCCTGTTAATAGCAAGAAAACAGTTATTAAAAATAAGTTTGATTTAAATTATACCAGAAAATCTTATTTTGGTGTTTATTAAATTCCTTACTAATTTCGACTTTTTAATTCTATGGGGGCGAGGGTCACTTGCTTTTTATAAAAATAAAAGGGATTCGCCACTCGAAAAAGTTTAGGAACCACTGTACTAGAATCTAGATCTATGCCTAGAACTAAAAAAAAAAAGAACAACTAAAACTTGTTTTCAACTCCTCTACTTCAAGGGTTGGGACAATGTGACGACATAACAATACATTTTTTTGAATGTTAGAAACGGAATTTTCGCCACTATCTCTCGATTCAAAAGGTTTGTATTTCTTCGGGGCCTACTTGGGAGTGACTATGTGGCTTTTTTTTTTTAAAAAAAAAAGTACAATTTTAAAAGATGTATCTATGTTGTGGTGTGGGGAAGGGGGGGGGAGGAGCGGTGTGAAATTTTGCGCCGATGGTTCACAATGGGAAGGGGAACATAAAAACGGGCGAATGGGTAGAGCAGTATTCAGAGTTTCTTCCTCTTCCAGTCATCTCTTCGGGAAGAAAGTCTACAGCCTCCCGTCCCGAACGAAATGGAATTTATATGGAAAATATTTACTTTTACAAGTGTCCGCACCAGAAGCGTACGCAGGGGGGGGGGGGGGAGCAGGGGGAGCGGCCGCTCCCCCTTTGGCCATTTTCGGCAAAGTGGCGCCTTTTTGGAAACTTTTAAAACTCAAAGTTTTAAACAATGATATTTGTTAAAAATATTTTTGGTCAGCACATCTATGTAAATAACAAGATTTCTTTTCATGCAGCAATTAAGCATTATTGTACTAATCTAGTAGTGTCTACGTTTACAACATGTATTACCATTACCAGCTGCATCAGTTTGCCATTCTAAAAATAACGATTACGATGCATTGCAATGTTTAAAAAACCTCTACGGGTAGTACCACTTGGCAAGAGGGATGTTAAGTTTAAGGTAACTGTATAATATATTTGCTTACGAATAATTGAATTAGAAAATGTTATACATAAAACTTCATACATAATTACTTTATATATACAGTTTGAACCGTGTGATTAATTTTTTAAAAATAACAATACAGATACAAATACAACTGATGTGGCAACTCTATTTAAATTTACTTATGTATTCTTACAGTTTGTGCGATAGTGATTACGATTACAAATTATATGAAACAGTTACAACCCCCCTCCCCCATGGACCCCTCTGTAAAAAAAAATATTGTCATAATACCACTGCTACTTATTTAAATCTATTTCTGTAATATATATTTGTGTAATATGTATTTGTGTAATTTATATGTATGTTTAGAACAGTCATCTAAAAACTGACGCTATGTTCACTCTGAGTTGGTAATTCCCCCCCCCCCCCCCCACCTCACCACCACAATTGTGTAGAGCGACATTAATGTCACACCTAAGTATACACTGGGTTGGATAATTGATCTAGAGTGACCGGACAGTGGTGAATGAAGTTGAACCCACCCCACCCCCCCCCCCTCCAACCCACCCCGAAATGATCTGTTAAGTACATTTAGAAAAACGCGTAATGATGTACAAAATACGCTGTCAAGTTTAAGAGTTTCGGACTTTGGCCAGTACGTCCCGGCCAGTGCGCGCATTGGCCGGCCAATGTACGAAATACGCTCTTACTGCTAAGTTTTTCGGGCTTTGGCCAAGAGAGCCGACCAATGCGCACATTGGCCGGCCAAACCGGGGTTTGGCCGCACTTCGGGCTTTGACCGTAACATTTATATTAAGAGAGTGATTATTTCCCCTATTTCACTTGTCTTAAAAAATTTCCCAGGAATTATTATGTAAGAATTTTTTTTACAAGAATTACAAAACAGATTGTGTTTCGTTCATTGTTTTTGGTTGTAGTGTGTGTATATATTTTTGTTTTGTTTAGATTGATACAATTTTTGTTTTGTCGGCCTATATTGTATGTTTTTTCTTATTTCTTCTGAGTGCTACTTTCAATTTATTTTATATCATAGCGAAGTAATGACATACAGCTAGTAATTAAATATATATATATATATATATATATATATATATATATATATATATATATATATATATATACATATATATATATATATATATATATATATATATATATATATATATATATATATATAATACAAGTATATAAGACGTTTTAAAAATTCGGCGCTTTTTTCTGCTCTTTTCGCTCCCCCTACAACGAAAACCTGTATACGCCTCTGGTCCGCACCCCGGAAAATTTAGTCCCCCCCCCCTCCCCCCGAAAAAAAAGTCTGAAAGAAACACTGGCAGTAATAATTAGCGAAAAGAAAGCGTGACATCATAATATATGACAACCTTAAAAAATTAAATACTAAAAAGCAGTAAAAAAACTTTTCAATTGCACGATTGCCCTAGAAGCCCTCCCCCCCCCCCCCGAAATGTTTTTACCGCCCCCCCCCCCCCCCCCGAACGAAATGAAATTTATATAATTTATATATATACTTTTAACAGTGTCCGCCTCCCCCCCCCCCCCCCCCGAAAATTTCAAGTCCCCCCCCCCCCCCCCCCGGAGAAAAAAGTCTGGAAGAAACACTGGTTATACAAGGATATACTAGAAAGTTTATGGGAGATCACACCAACACGCTTAATTTATTATTTACATGGATAATGAAAATGTCACAGTTTTGTGTATTGGAGATGCTTACACTGTTATTATTAACCTGAATAGAAAATATCTGGGGGTTTTTTTTTGTTTTTTTTTTGCTAAAAGCTTTCAAATTTGAGTTCAGTTTCCGTGCTGCATTCCGTTGGATGTCCCTGAGTCCACCCAACTCAGGCGGGTGCATCACTCGTTAGATGACTAGTGTCTCTTAATTTTAGTGTTGGAAGATATTCCCTCGGACACAAATATCTATACCTAACAACTTGTTATTAGCTTCCACAGCTGCTCAACCAATAACAAGGCGGCAGTTGTTTGATTTTGGGGTTGCTGTCCCTTATTTTGGGGTTGCTATCCCTTATTTTGGGGTTGCTGTCCCTTATTTTGGGGTTGCTGTCCCTGATTTTGGGGTTGCTGTCCCTGATTTGGGGGTTGCTGCCTCTTATTTTGGAGTTGCTGTCCCTGATTTTGGGGTTGCTGTCCCTGATTTGGGGGTTGCTGCCCCTTATTTTGAAGTTGCTGTCCCTGATTTTGGGGTTGCTGTCCCTGATTTGGGGGTTGCTGTCCCTTATTTTGGAGTTGCTGTCCCTGATTTGGGGTTGCTGTCCATGATTTTGGGGTTGCTGTCCCTTATTTTGGAGTTGCTGTCCCTGATTTGGGGGTTGCTGCCCCTTATTTTGGAGTTGCTGTCCCTGATTTGGGGTTGCTGTCCCTGATTTGGGGGTTGCTGTCCCTGATTTGGGGGTTGCTGTCCCCGACTGTCAGGGCCTCATCTGCCCGAGGGTTGGATGTCGTGACTTTTCGGTTTAGCAACCATGAGCTCTACCGACTCGACCACGCCGACCCCCGAGGTTCGATCTAGCCCTAGGGGTTCAGTGAGTCAGTCTCGGGGGTTCAGCAGAGGTAAAGATACACTCACATGCTTTGTGATCGAATTTTGTCAACTCGGGCGATATAACTTGTGGCCGCGGCTGATGACAGTTCAAATATGACAGAGCGATATAGTAATTAAGTGCGCCAGAGCGAGATAACACGTATCAGTATCCTGGTATTTCTATATAGCAGAGCCCTTAATGTCTAGACACACAAGCATCACAAATCGTGTCAACGCCACCTATACAGGCGCGCGTTGATCGTGTATAAACATGCTGTGACAAACAACATACTTTTTATTTCTACATTGTAGCGCCGCTGTCAACTTTTGATTGTAGTGGTGGTATTGATTACGGCTAAAACTAATTTGCGGGCATTACTTATAAAATACGAAGCTTGTCTACAAAATCTGAACCCCATCTACTTGTTACAAAAATCCTTCTAATATTGTTTGTCAATAACTCATGATTCTGAAATTGTGAATATCAAGTTGGCTGACTCATGTTTTACAGTTAAGAAGTTGTGGCATTAATTTTTTATTTTATTTTGACTTTAAAATATTCAAATACTATTAAAGTGCCATTGTCAAAAGTTTTATCTGTTAAATCAGAATAATATTAAATCTCACTCCTCGTGCAATTAAAACACATACAAAATAATCACCTTTTCAATTTAAAAAAATAAACTTTATTCAGTTAAAAGTAAAAGTTTTGATTTTAAAGAAGTTTTAACAAGATTGGCAAAGGAAGTAGAAAACAAAAACTAGAATTAATTTAAAGTAATTGAAAAAAATGAAATTATTCACAAATTATTAAATTGATTTTTAAAAAAAAACAGGAATCTTTTTCAAATGGACATGGTGAAGCACAATATTTGATTTAGATTTTTTGGACATAAAATAAATATGGCCTCTCTCCTGAGTGAATTAATTTACATTTTAGAGGAATTTTTTAAGTAAACTTGCTAACACGCACATCACAGAAGTTTTAACAAGATTGGCAAAGGAAGTAGAAAACAAAAACTGTAGAATTAATTTAAAGTAATTGAAAACATGAAATTATTCACAACATAGATAATAATAATAAATATCTATCACAGTAGTAAATTACAAACAAATCATGCAAATTTACTTATAATTAATCACATTTAATAATGAATTTTACTATTTTAAATTGATTTTTTTTTTAAAAAAGGAATCTTTTTCAAATGGACATGATGAAGCAAAATTTTTGATTTAGATTTTTTTGAACACAACTTAAAATAAATATAACCTCTCTCCTGGATGAATTAATTTACATTTTAGAGGAATTTTTTAAGTAAACTTGCTAACACGCACATCACAGAAGTTTTAACAAGATTGGCAAAGGAAGTAAAAAACAAAACCTGTAGAATTAATTTAAAGTAATTGAAAAAATGAAATTATTCACAACATGGATAATAATAATAAATATCTATCACAGTAGTAAATTACAAACAAATCATGCAAATTTTCTTAGAATTAATCACATTTATAATGAATTTTACTATTTTAAATTGATTTTAAAAAAAAAGGAATCTTTACATTTTAGAGGAATTTTTGAAGTAAACTTGCTAACACGCACATCACAGTTGCGCCTTTAATCCTGAGAGTAAATATATTTTTGTTTTCTCTTTACATTTTTCAATGTAGACATATTTTATAAAATCACAAACAACATTCACATGACCTCACGTCTTTATGAATTTCTTCACCAGAAGACTTATGATTTGCAAATATTATGTTGATCCTCCTTAAACATATGTAATGATTCAGATGGGTTAAATATACTATCAATGCTGCTTATAAATTATATACATATCCTTGAGCTCTCCTATGATCATTTTATCTCCATCTTTATATGAAAAAAAATGTTTTCGATGAGGATAAGTTTTCCTCTGCTTTAAAACATCAGGTTTTATATTTTCAAATGGATAAAATCCATTTTTTTTTGTTAATTTATTTCAAGTTTAAGGTCTAATTAAAAAAAAAAAAGTTTTTTTTTTTCATATGAAGTACATAAATTTGACCTCTCTCTTGAATAATTTGCTTGAGTTGATAAAAGCAAACTTTATTATGAAACACTTTATACTTATACTCATGTTCTCTCTATTGCTTATAGCATTTAATATCATATAAGCATATAATTTAATCTATTTATCAAAGTTTATACATACTTTATTATATTTACAAATATGTTTAATTTGATCAATTTCTAAATCAATTAACTGATGGCATTTTCAACTCCTTATCAAAGTAAACTTTCTGTGAGACAAATCACACTCATGTAACCTCTACTGTAGAACTTTCTTTGTGTTGATAAAGATTATTCCTTGTAGCATATTTTCATAGCACAAATCACTCATGTGATGACAGATTTTTATGTTGATTTAGTTTACGATTTAAAGAAAACTCTTGACGACCCACATCACACTTATATATGGTGCTTCTCCTTAATGAATAGCCTTATGTTGATTTAGGTAAACCCTTGTAGTAAACTTTTTATGACACACATCACACTCAAATGGCCTTTCTGTTGAATGAGAAGCTTTATGTTTAATTAGAGTAGAACTGGTAGTAAACTTTTTACCACACACTTCACATACATGTTTCCTCTCTCCTGTATGAACAACTTTATGTTGATTTAGATGACTCTTTGAGACAAATTTTTTATGACATAGATCACACTCTTGTAACTTTTCTGGAAAATGAATGGTTTTATGCACATTCAGGTTACCATTGGTAATAAACATTTTATGACACACATCACACTCATATGACTTTCGTGCTGAATGAATTACTTTATGTTGCGTTAGATAAGCCCTCACAGTAAACTTTTTATGACATACATCACACTCATAAGGCTTTTCTTCTGAATGAATTTCTTTATGTTGCTTTAGATAAGCTTTCATAGAAAACTTTTTATGGCACACATCACACTCAAATGACTTTTCTTCTGAATGAATTGCTTTATGTTTAATAACAGAGGACCTCGTGATAAATTTTTTTTGACACACATCACACGCATATGACTTTTCTGCTGAATGAATTGCATTATGTTTAATTAAAGAATAATTGGTAGTAAACTTTTTCTGACACACATCACATTCATGTAGCCTCTCTCCTGAATGAATTAATTTATGCTTATTTAGATGACTATTTAAGGCAAATTTTTTATGACATACATCACATTCGTGTGACTTTTCAGTGGAATGAATTAATTTATGTTGCTTTAGGTAAGGCATTCTAGAAAACTTTTTACAACATAAATCACACTCATGTAGCCTCTCTTCTGAATGAATTGCTTTATGTTGCTTTAGATTACTCCTTGTTGCAAATTTTTTATGACATACATCACACTCATGAGACTTTTCTGTTGAATGAATTGCTCTGTGTTGCTTTAGGTAAAACTTTCTAGAAAACATTTTATGACATACATCACACTCATGTAGGCTCTCTCCTGAATGAATTGCCTTATGTTGATTTAGATTTCTGTTTGAAGCAAATTTTTTATGACATACAACACACTCATGTGACTTTTCTGCTGAATGAATTGCTTTATGTTTAATTAGAATAGTCCTTTTAATAAACTTTTTATGACACACATCACATTCATGTAGCCTCTCTGCTGAATGAATAGCTTTATGCTGATTTAGATGAGTCTTTAAGCCAAATTTTTTATGACATACATCACACGAGTGTGACTTTTCCACTGAATGAATAGCTGTATGTTGTTTTAGATTACCTCTTGTTGTAAACTTTTTATGACAAACACCACATTCATGTAACTTTTCTCCTAAATGAATTACTTTATGTTGGTTTAGATATGTCCTAGTAGCAAACTTTTTTTTACACACATCACACTCATGTGACTTATCGGCTGAATGTATCACTTTATGTCTATTTAGGTTACCCCTTGAAGTAAAATTTTTATGACAAATATCACACTTTTGCAGCCTCTCTCCTGAATGAATAGCTTTATGTTGATTTAGATTAGCCTTTGAAACATACTTTTTATAACACACATCACACTCATATGACCTCGTATCTGTGTGTGATTCTTTCCATTTTACTAGAAGACTTCTACGCTTTGAAAGTTTTAAATTTTTCTGCTTACACTTCTTTAATAATTCAACCTGAATACATGTTGGATTTTCAATGTTACTTATAAACATATCCTTAAGCTCTGATAAATCAGTTGATAATTCTGTCTTTATATTAGAAATATTGTCATTAAGAGTAGTCTCTAGTGATAGGCTTAGTCCTGCATATAAACCATCAGGTTTTATATCTTCAAAAACTGAAAATAAATTAAGCCTCTCTGGGTTTTCTTCTGTATTTGTTGTAAATTCTGATAATAGATCATAATTTTCACACATTGGCAACAAATTTTCTTGTGTGTCTTCGATTTCTGTAAACTCCTCTTGTTTTATGTATTCAGCTGGAATTATATTGACAATATCTGGCTGGATATCCACAGGTAGTTCATGCTTGATCCCTAAAACACTTGGTAATGCTTCTACACCAGCTTCTCTTTTTTTTCTATCCTTTTGCTCCATAACTAAATAATTGAAAAAAATAATTTGAAAATAATTTTTCCAGACAATAATCGAGAAACAAATAAAAAATAATAATTTTCTTCTAAAAAAAATAAATGCTGACTTATGCAGCTACGCATATTCTTTTCACAATAAGCCTAACATAACACCTATGTCAAACACCATTACATTTTTCCATTTTAGAAAGGGGTAGATGCCTAGTCATTTAGAGGGATAAGACAAAAACATACTTTTCATGTCATTAATATTAAGAGTAGTCACACACTACTAGTTTTTCCTCAATGTTATGACAACTGAAGAGTTACCTATTTATTCCACTGTCTGGCCTCTAGGTTGGTGCTGTGATCTCATCATAACACAAGTGTATTATTCATACTTTTCCATTAGGGTCCTATTTTGGAAGAATAAAAGTGGTTAACGAATTAAAACATGATACTATTTTCTATATTCTAGGCACAGAGCAAACCAGACTATTTCTTTATTTGTTGAGCATAAACAAGTATATAGAGGTGAAATCAATTTCATCTGAAATATTGAAATTTTAGGTCTGAAATCTTATTTTAGTCCAAGTTTTTTTTATGGATGACACTTATTGAAACACAACCAAACAAGCCCAAATTACTGTTATCATATTGTTTCAAAATATAAATAAAAAGTATGGGCTTTAACTGAGAAACCTGCATATTTAAAAAAAAAAGGGCCTCTTTATTTTTTTATATTTTTGTGGGTTTTGAGTAAAATGAATGAAATTAATTTTTTACTTCAAGCTCAGTTTTTTAATTTTAAAAACTGATGAGTAGACCCAGTGCTTTTTTTGTTAAAACAAAAGAGGTGCCAGTACTCAGTGATGAATTGCCTTTTAACTACCAGTTTGTACCTCAATGCAATCTTAATCACAACTGCAAAGATACTAAATGTCTAAAACAATTTTATTTTATATTTACCAAATTATATTGTTTTATTATTACTTTATTAGTATACATTTGTTATGATATGTTAAGTTTTACTAACAACTTATTCAAGTTATTCTTGATTCACTTTTAAAAAAATTGTGTTAAGTTCTCTTGTGTTTTATAGGAAAGAACCCTGTTAAAAATGAAAAATAAATGTTGAATGGATTATTTATGATAATTTATTTATGATCATCATAATTTATTTATGATCATCTGACGTATACTCCCAACTGTGTTCTTTGCAGTTAATATCTGTGGCTGAATGTCTGCCTCTAAGCCACCATGAAACGTATCTTGTAGGGTCAAAACGTATGAGTGGTGGTCCAACTTATCTGATAAATAACAGTGAAGATACAGTTGTTGTCATCAATGAACTTTTTGTCGGGGTGATGATAAGATTCATTTGCAAAAATCCTCTTTCAGATTCACTTGAAGAAATTGGGATAGTAAGAGCAATTTGCAAAGGAATTAGTTTATCCAAAATGTTTTTTTCTGTGAGATATTTACAAAATCTGCGAATAATTATTCTTTCGTTTAATTGCAATCTTGTTGACAAGTTTCTAATTTCTGTTTCGCCAAATGTTAAGTGAGTATCAATGTTGTCTGGCCATTGCTTTGTATAGAGTACTTGAGTCCAATATGCCAACTCAGCATATTTACTATAAGCAACCTTTGTTCAATTTATTCTTGTAGTTTTTACGTCAATTAGTGGATCATTGGTACAGTTTTTGGTGTGTAGTGAAACTCCTTTGAAAAGGTTACAGTGGCCGCAATTTTATAATAAGGGACTGGAATAATTTGCCTTTCTTCAAAAATCTGTATAACAGCCTTGATTTTTTAGTCTCCTCTGTAGATGTCTATGTTGCACAAATCCAAACTTAACTCTGACAGTTCTTAAAGCACAGCGCACATCAATTGGAGGTCTAGTACAAATCTTTTGCGGCAAACCTTCATGCGAGCATTGATCTTTTTTGACTCTGGTTGAGTCAAGTTTTGCTTTTCAAAATGTTGTACTAAAACTTCATAATCTTCTCAAAATTGCTAAATTGGATGCCACCCATTTCGTGCTTAATTAACATTCTTCCAATTTTTAACAACTCAGCCTCAAACAAACGAGCACATATTTGCAATCCTCTGCAATTTTCGGGTGAAGAATGATAAATTACATACAGTTTATTAATGAATGCCTTAAATCTGTTGATCCCTGAAACTTGTTTTACGACATCACCAACGGAGAGTTCCAATCAGTGATTTGCACAATGCCAAACCAAAACTAATGCAAACTTTTCTTACAGCAATGTCTAGACACCACTTTTGCTTCCCAACATCACAGGTGCTACATGACATGCAAGAGAAACTAGGTTCCTTCTTAGAAAGTCTTCGGTTAATCCATAGTAAAGAAGGAGTGTAGTAAAGAAGCAAAAACTCCATTTGCGGTTGCACTTTCAAGTTCTGCCAAATCCAACAATAAATTTACTGGTGAAGTCATTCCATTGTCTGCAGGACAAACATGAATAAACACAATTAAAGTCAATTTTTGGCTAAGCATAGTTGATTCGTGGATGATCGATGAAATTTTATTGTTTCACCATACAATTTTTTCTCACCTTACAACTAATGTGATTCACTACATTTATGCAAGCATTAGATGAATGAAGAATACAGCCCATCTCAACTCCATTTAGTTCTTGAAAATCTATTTCAGATTTGAAATTATGATACAATTGGTTTTTTTTGGATACTTTATATGTAGTATGAAAAATCTTTGCATTTACGATTTTCTCACGAGTTAATGCCTTTAACAACACATTCTCAATAGGTTTTGCCTTGGCTTTTGTTAGGATCTTAAGCGCAGCTTTGTGTGCTGCAGTTTCTTAATAATTGAATAATTTCTTTCTTAAAAACATAGCTGTTGTCGTCGATTCGTACCAAAGTAAGTAGGTATTTTATTGTCGACCCATTTGTTCGATACCTTTTTTTCTATCTTTGCCTCGACTCCGAGATTACCAACTTTTCTGCAAGGGATACAACCAAGTTTTTTATTATGGATAAATAACCAATCATATTTTGCAAGGAAATAGCGTCTTTGATCTAAAGTCCAGCAGGTAGGCCAGTCAACATGTACAGGCTGCAGTTGTTCAAAAGTAACAGAGGAACCAAGAACAATTTCTGACGGCTTTGGTTCCGATTGTTTCATTAGGGTTTCATCGGTGACATTGGCTTCTGACGTTATTTCTTCAGTCACTCTGGTTTTATTCCTTACCAGCAAAACCTAGCCGGAACATCAATTGAATGCGAAAAGAAATAAGAAATGTCCTTCATTTCCAAAATCGGCTAAGAAATAATTATTACTTAATATTATTTGTTTATTATCAATTTGTAGCTACGCTCGTTTTAATTTCTTTAAGTCTTAATTATTACATTCAAATTTTTAAGTTTTAAAGACATTACGTCTTAAAAACAAGCATGACCAGAAATGGGTTAATAACCAGACGTAACATTATGAGTGTGTGCGGAAAGCAGTTTTGCATTTTATATTTTAATTCTTATTGCGCAAAATTAAAAAAAAATTCAATTTTAACAAATTAATAATATAATGATAATAATAAAACGTTGAATTGCAAGAAAAGTAATAATTTTTTCCCCACGGTTTAAAAAGGTGCTGGTGTGTATCGTCACAAAAAAAAAGCACTGAGTAGACATTTCTAATATCTGAAATATGTATGGTCTTGGTACTAAATTTAAAGAAAAGTAGGTTAGGCTGACTGGCAACAGTTTAAAAGAAATGTATTATTGAATATTAATTAATCATAAAAATTGTATTGTAATTCAAATTTCAATTTAAAATTTGACCTATTTGGGGAGACCTTTATTAAATTATTTAGATTTTCTTCAGCTATCTATATTACTTATGCCATATGTTATTACTACACTACATAATTATGGAATCTTCTTTCTAAAAAAAAAGGGTGTTAGGTTAATCATTTACTGACAGTAAATCCTATCCCTACCAAAACTTTATCTACAAGGTCCTATCATGTTCATAGCCCCTAAGTGGCATAAGATCCTACTAACTTAGTTCTAGATCTAGATAACTAGGCCAGGGGTCTCCAAGCTACCGCCCGCGGGCTGGATGCGGCCCGCGAAGTCCTCTCATCTTTTTGTCCAAGGAAAAATCTTTGTTGGTGATGGCTGAGGAACTTTGCCCAATAAAATCAAAGACATGCCTGGAAGAAACTGGACCCCGAACTGAAATTTGATAGTTAATGCGGCCCTCTGACTGAAAAGTTTGGAGACCCCTGAACTAGGCCTAGGGCAAAGCCCTAAGCCTAAAGGCAAGGCAAAAAAGTGTCATCATGAATAGGCCTACAATTATAATGTTACACCACCCAATCACACATTACAAAAAGTCAGACTCCTAATACTACTAATAATGGTAATCTATTGTTTTAGGTACGTAAAATCGCCCACGACTAGTAATGTGAAAAACAGGTGACTCCTTAAATTTTAATAATTATTTCACATTTTGAGGAGGATTTATGTTTTGAAAAATAAAAAAATGTTTCCTTGTTTCATTTATGTATATGTTTTTAAACAATTGAATTAAAACTTTTCAGTAATAGATGAAGACTAGCGATGTTTCCAACAGATACGACCATGCTCATTTACTATAGCAGTCATCTTAAGTTTTATTTTATAAAACTTATAGTGGTAGATTCAGGGGAAGCCACTCTATTTTACAAATGGCTGCTGTTTATATAGCAAATCTTGCTCTCAAACACTGCTGTTTAAAGTTAATTTCTGGCCTATATTTATATATTTATTATTTAGCCATTGATTTTGGTTTATTGTTCAGTTATTTATAATATTTGTTACAAATATTTTACAATATAGTCTACTTCTATTAAAGCCATGACAATGAGGTAACTTTTTCGTACATTAATAACTAGATCTAATCTAGATCTAGATCTAGTAGATCTAGAATCTAGCCGCGGCCAATTTTACGTACCTAAGGCTAGCCTAAGGCCTAAGGCTAAAGGTAGTAAAGCGATTACCTAACTAGATCTAGATAGATTAACTGTCTGTTTCATTTCTGGAAAGGTATAGACTAGATCTAGATATCTAGAATCTAGATCTATAATTTATACGGATCTAGACTAGGTCTAGAAATCTACCTGTGTTTGGATAATGCAGCGGGAAATAACAATTTTATTTTTAACGTCAACTTTTACTGGATTTGCTTGGTTTTCCTTGGCAGTAAAAAATCAAACATGGCTAATCTAGATCGAGGTCTAGATCTAGATCAGTAGATCTAGATTAGATCTAAGACGACTAAGAAGATCTAGAATCTACATCTATCGTATCGTTTATCTAGCTAGATTAGATCTAGACCCTAGTGAAAATGTAACATTTATTTTCACTAACATGTTAGTTAACATTACATATTGGCTCCCAAGAAATAGGCTAAGGTCATACTGGCTACCGACAAATAGGCTTCCTACATATTAGCTTAATATGTGGAGATTGAAATAAGAGAAACGACAAGGTGGTGGTTGGGGCACATTATCATAAATACAGTAAATAATAAATAACATCACAAAGCAGGTGCTGGTGTGGAAAAAGAGGAGGAGAATGAAATCGTCGAAAAAGTGATGGGAAAAGCTGGATTATTTAATAGAGTTCGATTTTCATAAAAATCAAGTGAGTTGACAAAGTGTTGGCTATCCTATTCTCCTTAGGAAGCCGAATAAAAAGAAGAAAATCAGGAGAGTTTAGAACAATTCTTAACCTGGGTTCGATAGAACCCCAGATGTTCGGTGAGTCAGTCTCGGATAGCGATAAAAGAATACGTGATTTTTATATCCAGTCAACACAGTGATCCAGGCACGATGTAATGAAATCAAGTTAGAATCTCTCACTCACAAGGAAGTTGAGAGAATCGTAAAAATCGTACAAAGAACTCGTCGCGTCATTTCTGAACAAAAGTGGCTACTGAATTGTGTTAAATTTAAATGATTCATCTACTCACGCGTTCGTGTCCCCCCCCCCCCCTATCATCTTGGACAAAGCTGTAGAGCAAAAAAAAAATAGATATTTTCAAATCTCGACATTTTACACCTCCCTGAGTTGGAAAAACATAGTTTTGCAATCTTGTCAGCAGTAGCGTACGCAGGGGGAGCGGCCGCTCCCCCTCTTGCCATTTTCAGCAAAGTGGCGCCTTTTTTTAAATTTTTTAAACTCAAAGTTTTAAGCAATGATATTTGTTAAAAAAATATTTTTGGTCGGCACATCATAAGGTTTCTTTTCATGCAGCAATTAAGCATTATTGTACTAGTCTAGTAGTGCCAACGTTTACAACACGTATTAACAGCTGCATCAGTTTGCCATTCTAAAAATAACCATTACGATGCATTGCAATGTTTAAAAAACCTCTACGGTAGTACCACTTGGCAAGAGGGGTGTTAAGTTTAAGGCAACTGTATAATGTATTTGCTTACGAATAATTGAATTAGAAAAAGTTATACATAAAACTTCACACATAATTACTTTATATATACAGTTTGAATCGTGTGATTAATTTTAAAAAAATTACAATGCAGAAACAAATACAACTGATGTGGCACCTCTATTTAAATTTACTTATGAGCAAACTGCGTAGTGGTGGGGAAATTTTGACAAGGTCGACAACGTCATCACGATGAAGTAGTAGTATTCTTACAGTTTGGGCGATAGTGATTACGATTACAAATTATATGAAACAGTTACAACCCCCCTCACACCTAGGTATACACTGGGTTGGATAATTGACCTAAAGTGAACGGACAGTGGTGAATGAAGTTGAACCTACCCCCACCCCGAACTGATCTGTTAAGTACATGTAGAAAAACGTGTAATGATGTACAAAATTACATTGCCGCCAGAAAATTAGCTTTTTAAACGTAATACTCTGGGAATATTGTTTTTGCAATTACCAGTAAAAAGGTGTGTGATCAATACAGTGATCTAACCCATAAGATCACAAAGAAGCAGTAGTTAATTAAAATATATGATCTGAACTAAAACACCGATATTTATTTAAATGTAGGCTGTTATTCCGAATGTTTTAATAACATATCGAAAAGCGTGTTTTTACACCAACTCTGATTTTTAAACAATTTCATTATATTCTAAAGTAATTATTTATTTTGACATTTATGATTAAATGTCTAGATATATACATATTTATATTAAGAGTGATTATTTCCCCTATTTCACTTGTCTTAAATAATTTCCCAGGAATTATTATGTAAATTTTTTTTTACAAGAATTACAAAACAGATTGTGTTACGTTCATTGTTTTTGGTTGTAGTGTGTGTATATATATATATTTGTTTAGATTGATACAATTTTTGTTTTGTCGGCCTACATTGTGTGTTTTTTCTTATTTCTTCAGAGTGCTACTTTCAATTTATTTTACATCATAGCGAAGTAATGACATACAGCTAGTAATTATATATATATATATATATATATATATATATATATATATATATAATACACATATATAGAACGTGTTGAAAATTCGGCGCCTTTTTTATATCTTTTCGCTCCCCCTACAACGAAAACCTGAATACGCCTGTTTGTCAGTATGTCTGTGTGTGTGTGTGTCTGTAGTGACTGATAAAAAAGCGCCACCAACCTTTTAAACTGGGGAAGTGTTTTTTTGCACTAACATTAATAATTATAATATAAATAAATGGGAGGTGGGCACAAAATTGATACTTGCAGTACAGACACATACAAAATTACCAACTTTTCAGAAAAAAAAAACAATTAAACTTTATTATGTAAATGGTTTTGATTTTAATGAAGTTTTAACAAGATTATCAAAGGAAGTAGCAAACAAAAATTCTAGAATTAATTAAAACAAATTGCAAAAATGAAATAATTCACAACATGGATGATATTCATAAATATATAATATATCAATATTACACACTGATCATGCAAATTTCACTAAAAGTAATAACAAGGAATATTTTTCAAATGGACATGGTGAAGCACAAAAAAAAATCAGATGTTTTTGGAAATAAGTAAAATATGACTTATCTCCTGAATGAATTATTTCTACAGGACTTTTTGAAGTAAACTTGCTAAGACACACAGCAGTCAAATATATCTTTTGCTTTAAAACATCAGGTTTTATATTTTAAAATGGAGAAAACACATTGTTTATCTGGGTTTTTTTTTTTTGTTAATTTATTTCAAGTTTCAAGGTCTCATAAAGAAATCAAGATTTTTGTTTTCACATAAAGAATATATATTTGACCTTTCTTGAATAATTTGCTTGATAAAAGCAAACTTTATTATGAAACACTTTATACTCATATTGTCTGTATTGCTTAGGGCTTATCCATTTATGACATCCACACGGAGATGGAGTCCAAAACAGTAAATTGGTAGTAAGTTTTGGGAGGTCTACTAAATTTTTGTGAACGTCTAGAGGAGGGGGGAGGGGGAAAGGTTCATTGAAATTGGACGGAATTTTTGATTACCTCATAAATAGCATTTTACACTATACAAATATAATTTAATCTATTTATGAATTCATTTGTTTATACATACTTTATTATATTCATAAATGTTTAATTTAACATATTTCTGAATCAATTAATTGATGACATTTAAGAGTCATTATCAAAGGAAACTTTCTTTGGCACAAATCACACTCTTGCATTCTCTGCTGTATAACTTGCTTTGAGTTGATAAAGATTATTCCTTGTAGCAAACTTTTAATAGCACAAATCACTCATGCAATGAGATGAATTTTTTTATGTCTATTTAGTTTTTTATTTCAAGAAAACCCTTGATGATGTACATCACACTCAATTGGTGCTTTTTCATAATGAAAAGCTTCATGTTGTAATTTAGTAAATCCTTGTAGCAAACTTTCTATGACACACATAACACTCATTTGACCTTTTGTGCTGAATGAATTGTCTTATGTTTATTTAGGTTACCCCTGTAGGTAAATTTTTATGGCACACATCACAATCATGACTTATGTGCTGAATGAATTGCCTTATGTTTAATTAGAGTAGAACTGGCAATAAATTTATTATGGCACACATCACAATCATATAACTTTCGTGCTGAATGAATGGCTTTATGTTGATTTAGGGTAGCCCTTTTTGCAAATTTTTTATGACATACATCACACTCTTGTAACTTTTCTGGTAAATGAATGGTTTTATGTACATTGAGGTTACTCTTGGTAGAAAACTTTTTATGACACACATCACACTCGTGTGACTTAACTGCTGAATGAATTGATTTATGTTTAATTAGAGTTAAAATGGTAGTAAACTTTTGATGGCACACATCACATTCATATACCTCTGAATGAATATCTTTATGTATATTTAGGTAAGCCCTTGTTGTAAATTTTTTATGACATACATCACACTCATGAGACTTTTCCGCTGAATGAATTGCTTTATGTTTATTTAGTGAAGGAATTGCTTTATGTTTATTTAGATACTTCTTTGAAGCAAATTGTTTATGACATACATCAAATTCATGAGACTTTTCCGCTGAATGAAATGCTCCATGTTTCTTTAGGTAGGACTTTCTAGAAAATCTTTTAAGACACACCTCACATTCATGTAGCTTTACTTCTGAATGAATAGTTTTATGTATATTTAGGTAGTGCTTGGAAGTAAACGTTTTATGGCACACATCACACTCATGTGATTTTTCTGCTGAATGAGTAGCTTTATGTTGATTTAGATGACTCTTTGTAACAAATTTCTTATGACACACATCACACTCATGTTTCTTTTCTGCTGAATGAATAGCTTTATGTTTATTTAGATGACTTTTTGAAGCAAATTTTTTAAGGACATAAATCACACTCATGTTTCTTTTCTGCTGAATGAATTGCTATATGTACATTTAGATTACCTCTTGTAGTAAAATTTTTATGACATAAATCACACTCATGTTTCTTTTCTGCTGAATGAATTGCTATATGTACATTTAGATTACCTCTTGTAGTAAAATTTTTATGACATAAATCACACTCATGTTTCTTTTCTGCTGAATGAATTGCTATATGTAGATTTAGATTACCTCTTGTAGTAAAATTTTTATGACAGACTCCACATTCATGTAACCTTTCTCCTAAATGAATTGCTTTATTATGTTGTTTTAGATATGTCCTAGTAGCAAACTTTTTATGACACACATTACACTCATATGACCCCACATCTGTGTGTGATTCTTTCCATTTTACTAGAACTGGAAGAGTTTTATGCTTTGAAGATTTTAAGTTTTGCTTCTTACACTTCTTTAATAATTCAACCTGATTTGATGTTGGATTTTCAATGTTGCTTATAAGCATATCCTTAAGCTCTGATGAATCAGTTGATAACTCTGTCTTTATATGAGAAATATTGTCAGTATGAGTTGTCTCTAGTGATAGGCTTAGCCCTGCATTTAAACCATCAGGTTTTATATCTTCAAAAACTGAAAATAAATCAAGTCTATCTGGTTTGTTGTCTACATGTGTTGTAAATTCTGATAATAAATCATGATTTTTGTTTTCACATGTTGACAATACATTTACTTTTGTGTCATCAGTTTCTGTAAACTCCTCTTGTTTTATGTATTCAGATGAAATTATATTCAAAATTTCTGGCTGGTTGTCCACATATAGTTCTTGCTTGATCCCTAAAACACTTGGTAATACTTCTATATCAGCGTCTCGTTTTGTTCTATTCTTTAGCTCCATAACTAAATAATTAAATAATTTTTTTGAAAATATTTCCAGAAATAATCAAGTTGAGAAATAATCAAGAAATATAAATAAAAATGTTCTTCAAAAACATGAATGCTGACTTATGGAGCTAAACATATTCAGCTATGCATATTCTTTTCACAATAAGCCTAACATAACACCTATGTTAAACACCATTACAATGTGGAGGCTTTTCCATTTTAAAAAGGGGTAGGGGCTTAGTCATTTAGAGGGATAAGACAAAAAAAAAACATACTTTTCATGTCATAAATATTAAGAGTAGTCACACACTTCTAGTTTTTCCTCACTGTTATAACAACTAAGAGTCCAGAGTAAACTATTTGGTCCACTGTCTGGCCTCTAGGTTGGTGCTGTGATCTCATCATAACACAAGTGCATTATTCATAGTTTTCCATTAGGGTCCTATTTTGGAAGAAAAAAATTGTTAAATGATTAAAACATGATACTATACTCTATGCAAGATTGTATTTAATGCATGTTATTCCACTCAAATATTTTGTTTTGTTTTTAATTTAAAAAAAAAACCACTATGATAGACACCTGACTTAAGGTAGGGAAAGTAAAGATGGCTAGACACAGAACAAACCAGACTATTTCTTTATTTGTTGAGCACACACTCATAGATTCAGGTGAACTCAATTTCATCTGCAATATTAATGTTAGGTCTGAAATCTTATTTTACTCCAAGTTTTTTATGGATGGCACTTATTGACACAATTACTATTATCATATTAGTTCAAAAATAAAAAGTATGGGCTTTAACTAAAAAAAACAATACATTAAAAAAAAAGAGATTAATTTGAAAAAAAAAAAGCTTCTTTCTTCTTTATATTTTTGTGAGCCCTGAGTAAAATGAAATTCATTTTCAACTTTGATCCATCTGTTGCATTTATTGCTGGGTTTTTTAAACTGCTGTTACTTTAGTTTTGCATAGCATTTTTAAAACCTGATGAATAGATCAATCCAATATCTGAAATATGTATGGTCTTACATTTAAAGAAAGGAAATTAGGCTAACAACAGGCAACAGTTTAAATGAAATTTATTATTGAATACTACATAGTCATAATAATTGCATTGTAATTCAAATTTCATTTTAAACTATATTAGCTGACCTTTATTAAATTATTCAGATTATCTTCATCTACCCATAAAATTACTTATGCCATATTTTATTACTACATAGTGTAGTAGTGTGGCACTACTGCTACATAGTAGGTTTATTAGAATGCTCTGCAAATAACTCAAATTTGCTCAAAATGTAACTTAAAATAATAATGAACTCTTCTAATACTGTCATATGTGTTACTGTAATGTTATACCTGAGTAACATGATACATATTAGGCCTAGTAGATTTGAATGCTATTAAAAATATTTTTCAAAGAGATGTTATACTTTGCTTACAGTGACAGACTAGATCGGTAGATCTCTTTCCTAGTTCTAGATAAACTAAATTCTATCCCCCTGACGATTGACCCAAAGCGTAAATGCTCAACCACATGATACGGTTAGTTTTGTTAGAAGAATAAGGCTAAAAGTCTTTTAGTAAAAGAGTAATATGAGCCGATTGGAAAGCTGTTTAGGGCTTTAGGACTTTAGGGTATTTTCAACCCATTGCACAGCTCTTAAGGGTAATTTCAGCCCATGTTAAGCCTTTTTATGGTCATTGCACTTTTTGGTCTTCTGCCAACCAGCCTAGGCCAGGGGTCGGCAACCTGCGGCTCGCGAGCCGCATGCGGCTCTTTTGATATCAAGATGCGGCTCTCCAGCTCATTGCACAAATACTAATAATCTTAAAAAAATAAAATATTTGAAATAAAAAAATGTTAGTGGCTCTTTAAAACCAGGGAAATTTTGAAAATTTTAATTTTTGGCTCTTCAGCTTCAAAAGGTTGCCGACCCCTGGCCTAGGCTAGAGGGCTACAGTAGCTAGAGGATCTAGATCTAGATCTAGATTTTAGAAAGATGCTGCTAGAATAACTACACTCGTCACTAGAGAGTCACAAGTAGATATGATGATGACTAGTCACTAGACTAGAGTTTCTAGTGGCCTTCTACTAGCAGTGGACTCAGGCACTTCTCCATTTTTAGACACAGTTGACTAGATCTAGAGACTGAGTGTTGAGTTGACAGTTGTTTTTGTTTGTATTGTTTTTTTGTTTTGTTCCGTGTGTGAGTTCAAGAGTTGCCTTAATTTTATAATAATTTTAAAATTTAATTTCAAAATTTGTGTGGCAAATGCCTTGCTCCTTCAAATAGATCTAGTCTAGATCTAGATCTCTCTAGATTCTATTAGATTCTAGATATAAAAATAAAATTAAAAATCACAAACCCTTGATTTAGATTAGAATGTGATGTGTTCCTCGTTTGTCCAATGCGTGAGAAATGTTTACAAAAATAAGATAAACCAAAATCAACCCAGCTGGGACTTTGTATCTCTACTCGATTATTTTAACTATATTATTATAATAATACGAGAAAAATGGCCCGTTAGATTAGACAACATTTCCTTTTTATTCAATGTTTACGCGATAATCAATGACGTCATTATATTACTGTGTGCACTTTCCGCCTTGAGATTATTTTCAACTCTATGCTAAATGTGTCGACGTCATACTTCGTCTTTCGTTTCACTGTGAGAGTTTTTAAATTGCTTGTGTTTTCTCTAGAGCGTTCTTGTCAGACAGATAGATAGATAGATAGATAGACAGATAGATAGACAGACAGCGAAACTATTATTATAGACGAGAAAAATGGCCCGTTGAGGAAGGGTACAACGGGCGCTAGGCTGATAGTGCTGTCTCTTTTCTCTAAACTAAAACCACCCCCACCCCCACCCCCCCCCCACCCCACACCCCCCCCCCCAAAAAAAAACATGTCTACCGTCCCATTCAACGAAATATAATTATATACTTTTTCCAGTGTCCGCCTCCTCCCAGAAAATTCTACCCCCGCCCCCGAAAATTTCAAGTACCCCCACCCCTCTCCGGGGAGGAAAAAGTCTGAAAGAAACACTGAAACCAACCCACCCACCCACACACCACCCCCCACCCCCACCCCCACCCCCCCCACCACCCGCCCCCACACCCCCCCCCCCCCCCCCACACACACCGCCCCCCCCACTCCCCCACCCCTCCACCCCCCCCCCCAAAAAAAAACATGTCTACCGTCCCATTCAACGACATATAATTATATACTTTTTCCAGTGTCCGCCCCCTCCCAGAAAATTCTACCCCGCCCCCGAAAATTTCAAGTACCACCACCCCTCTCCGGGGAGGAAAAAGTCTGAAAGAAACACTGGTGTCGCGCTTAGCCACTACCCGAAGAATTGCATTAAAGAAATTGCAAGAAAACCACTTTTTAGATTAGACATATTAATTAGGCGGTAATTTTATTATAGAGTATCGATAAAGAAATTTCTTTTGAGTTAGGGAGGGGGGGGGGGCTCAGACGTTCTTACGCGGGGGTGGGGCTTCGCCCCTACCCGAAGAATTGTATGAAAGAAACTCTTCACGCAAACCATTTAGATTAGACAACATTTCCTTTTTATTCAATGTTTACGCGATAATCAATGACGTCATTATATTACTGTGTGCACTTTCCGCCTTGAGATTATTTTCAACTCTATGCTAAATGTGTCGACGTCATACTTCGTCTTTCGTTTCACTGTGAGAGTTTTTAAATTGCTTGTGTTTTCTCTAGAGCGTTCTTGTCAGACAGATAGATAGATAGATAGATAGACAGATAGATAGACAGACAGCGAAACTATTATTATAGATTAATATAGACATTCTATCTAGCTACGCAGAGTTCAGACACGATTTTAGAAAAAATATCGATGTTTTAAGAAAAATTCAACCGCAATTTTAAGAGGGGGGGGGGGGGGTTGTAGGTTGAGTTGTGACGTCATTTTAGGGGTGGGGTCGGCTTTTTGTGACACTGTGTGGGGGAGGGGGGGGGGGAAGGTAAAAATCGTCAAAAAAGCGTGACGTCATTTTTATGGATGACCCCTAACATAGACAGCTGTCTACGTTGTGTCTTCTATGACATACTACGTTCAGAAAATAAATTGATAAAATCGCTTGGCTGGTTTGATTCGATGGTTTATTTTTAGAACAGTGTTGTTGTCTTTCCTTATTCTAAGATGAAAATCGCGAAAGGTAGACGTAACAAGTATGCTGATTGGATAATATTTTTTAATCATACGGATAGCCTAGTTTGTTGAGACATCCTAATATATAAAACGCCATGTGCGCTCTTCTCTCTCTCTCTCTCTGTCTGTCCGCAAAATATTTTCGCCGGACATCACGTCAGAAACGGCAGCGATATATGTAGAACTTTATACGGACTTTTGTTGAAAATAATATGTTAGATATTTTAAATGTATAACCACAATTTTATTTAAAGAAGAAAAATAAAAAAATAAAGGCGTATTCGAATGTAGAAAAACAATTTTATTTATGCAACCGGAAAAGCATTAATAGATGTGTAAAAAGAACGCATAAAACTGTGACGTCACTATTGCTTATACATTAACTAATGACGTCATCTGCCGTGTTTAGAATAAAAAGAAATGAACTATTTCATTCAAATTTGATTTAGATCTACGTACACTATGAAATGTATACAATACAATTTTTCCGGCCTAAACTCATAAAATTTATTTTATGTATTTGGATTCTAGATCTAGAGATTCTAGATCTAGACTAAATCTAAATCTACGCAATAACTAGATCTAGACGTAGACGCTAAGATCTAGATTTAGACTCTAACTTCTCTAAAATCAATTCCAAAAATAAATTTCTATATTAGGACTAAACTATTTCAAGACTTATTTATTTTATACAAAATCTTTGTTTGGAACTGGCTAATTTGGGATAAAAAATTTTATTTGAAAGAATAGGCATATTCGCGTAAGTTAAGATTTTAAAATAGGTGTTTCATTCTCCGTATTTTATAAGGTGCCTAAATAGCGGAGATGTTAGTGTACTATAAACCACGCAGGTGGTGCGGTTTCGAGACACACCAAGTCAACTTGGTTAATGTATTTTTAGCGCAATTTCCATTCTGGAGAATTGCGTTTATTAACTCGTCATTTCTGGGAATGGATGGATGAATGAATGTATGAATGTATGGATGAATGTGTGTCCGGGCTTTAAGTCGTATCTCCTCCTCAACGAAGCAATATCGATGACTAGTTCCAAAAGCAATTATGTTAAGCAAGTTACGAGGATGAACATAGGCCATAAAAATTACGGGTTTCTTTCATGGATTTCCCGGAAAAGCCAAAAAACCTCGAAAAAATGCAGTTTTTGGCCCATATCTCGGCAACCAGACCACTAAGCGACTTGAAACATGTACCAATCGATTTCTGCCATAATTTAGAACAATATTGCCGAAGAACGTTTTCAAAAATATCCTTTCGTTCGGTCACAAAAAATTTTTTGAATTAATTAAAATTTGGACCGAATTAGTAGGCATTTTTTCCAACCACACCACACGCGTCATCACGTTCAATAGCTGCGCCATCGCGTTCCATGGCTGCGCCATCACGTTCAGTAGGCGCGCAATGGTTTTTAGTCATGTAACTCTATTGTAAATAAAACATGTAAAATACTGAAAAAAATTAATAAAAAACGTTTTAATAACTAACCAATGGTTTTACTAACCCTGCTCTTGATTTACGCTACGACAGAGCTATTTTTAGATAACATAAGGAAATTGCGCTAAAATTGTCACTAGACTTTTTAATTACCTTGTTTTTTATTATGCTCGGGCTAAACTTAAAAAAAAAATTCTATTAGGATTCTAGATCTAGAACTAGATTGTCGGGTGTCCGATAGGGCACTTCCCGGCGCCGCAGGCGCTTCAAATTTGGCAGGATCTTGCCTTGGGGCGACAGAACACGGGGGCCGGTTGGCCGAAAAGTCTACGATGAGGGGGTCAAAACTGACCTCTACTGACCGGTGCCTTATATGAGCTATAAATCGAAAAAAAAATGTCCACGGAGGAACCTCTTCATAACTCTTGAGGTCGTAGACCGACCCTCGGGCGAATTAATTAAGCATTCAAATTCTCAATGTTTTCGAAAGCCTAAGCGAAGCTGGGCAGCATGCCTAGTTACTTTATAAAATACTTTAAACATTTTTAAAAAAAAAAACACGTTTTTCTTGTGGACTAAAAAGTAGAAAATAAATTTTTCTTCCGACCCTAGGGGATCTACCAATGACTACTCGTAGAATTTGTGCTTCCTCGAGCTGTGCAGGTTCTTTGTGATGACTGTTCATACATTTGATGACAAAAAACGTGGGTACGTTCACCATCAAATTTCCAAAATTCGTGTGTTGTGTGCTTTTCGCTTTAATCATAAATCTGCCCGACCCACGTTTTTTGTCATCAAATGTATGAACAGTCATCACAAGAACCTGCACAGCTCGAGGAAGCACAAAATCTACGAGCAGTCATTTTGATTGTTACATTTCTGTAACAACTCTGACTGATCAAATATTGAATTATCCATGTTTATAAACGTATCCTTGACCTCTTCTATATTATTTAATATCTCTGTCTTTATGTGAGAAAGATTTTCATTTAGATTTGACACTGGCAAAAAGTTTACTTCTACTTTTAAAACATCAGGTTTTACATCTTCAAAAGATTTTTGGTCTTCACTTGTTTTAAATTCTGATAGTACATCAGGATTTTTGTTTTCAGATGTGGAAAATAAATGTGGTTTTGTGTCATAAAAAGATGAACATTCTGTAAATCCCTCTGGGTTTATGTTTCCAGTTGAAATTACATTGGCAATATATGCATTGGTTTTCTCAGATTGTTCATGTTTCACTCCTAAAATACTTGGTAATTCTTTTAAATCAGCTGCTCTTTCTTCCATTTCTTTAGCTGAAAGAATGATTTTTAAAAAAAAATTAAATAATATCTCTAGACAATAATAAATATGGGACAGGGTGGCCTAGTGGTAGAGAGTTAGACTGCTAACCAGAAAGTCTCAAGTTCGAATTCAGGTTCAAGTTAGTAGAACGTCCCTGAGCACAATCAGCTCTTATGGGTACCTAACTCATGTTAGGGAAAGTAAAGGAGGCTGGGCATAGTGCTGACCCAACTATCCCTTCATATGCAGAGGTTACAGAAACAGGTGAACTCTACTTCACATGCCCATAGATAATCAGGTTTGAAAGGGAACTTTACTTTTACAAAAATAATACTTTTTTTTTCAGAAATATGTATGCTGACATAAGCAGTTAATGATAGGGTTAGTTGTTTTTCAAATTAAGCTTTAACATATACATGCAACAACATGTCAAAATAATTACAAATACCAGATTAAAGGAGATATAATGATACAAATGTATAAAGCTATATAAATACCGAAACAACGTTGCTACAAAATCTTAAATACCTTGAA